AAAGGGAGTGGGGAATCATGAAAGCCAAAATTGGCTTGATGAGAATGATCCCCAAATAAATACTAAGCATAAACAAGATGCAAACTTATTTTATATAAAAAACACATACATTTACAACAACAGAGGACAGAGGAAAGATAAAGATAACAAGGTAAAGATAGTGACAGGAAGACAAGAAGAGAGAGAAGATAAGAAGAAAGAAGTTACAGCTTGAGTGTTACATTTTACATGCATCGTATTTTCTATAAATGAATATAGTACAGTGACCCAACATGACACGAATAGTGGTGCATAATCATCATCCAAAATTAATGACTAGGGCAAAACAGACTCTAATGCAATGGACATATTTCTCTTTTTATCTCTATAATAGTTCTGCAATTATGCATTACGATCTTAATTGCCTTGTTGTGTTAAACAAATTTGCTTAAAACGTAAAAAATATAATTATTTCAATACATATTAAACTTTAACTCCCCCCCTCAACAAAATGAAAAAATAATATTTAAACAAAAATATTGTGTACATTATTATCTTGAATAATTATTATAAAGTATTCATAGCATGATTGTGGCCACAATCAAAGCAAAGTCTGTCAATTGCATTACACAGTTTAAATCTGGTTCACACTCGATCAGAGGCCATCAAAGTAGTTAAGTGGATCCATGAAGGTGTCTTGCCGGTGGGGGAAAAAATGCAAAATTTCACAGGGTTCTACTCACACCTACGAGGCCGAACGAGTATTGTGATATAACTGCATGAGATGATGTTAACGCACTCTTCCTTTACCAAATTAATCATTAGTCAGGTAGCTGTTGGGTAGATTAACTGTTACATAATTGATGATAATGTAATGAGTATTTACATTAGTAACTTCCCCATGCGTTTTTGATGGAAATGGTAGTTGGTAGTCCTCACATGCCCAATCCATGATGAAACTGAGGACCCAGCTTCTATAGGAGTTTCCCGATAATCATCGAATTTCTCATCGGTAGGCATACCGACATTAGTAGTGAAAAACAAGAGGATATATATTGCATACTCAATATGTTTATATGTATATGCGTGTGTGCGTGTGTGTATGTGTGTGTGAAGTCTGAACAAGCAAACCTCGTCAGGTCGTTACTTCGGGTGATCTTTAGAAGATGTGGACTTAGTATGACGATTTGAGATAATAGTGATGCGAACCTGGAATATACATGTACCATTTTTAAAGTTTCATAATTGTCAGGATGAATACCCTATCACAAATAATAAAGAATGTACCCAATACAGTCAAACCTGTCTATAGCGACCGCCCAAGGGAAACACAAAAAGTGGTCTTTGTAGACCGGTTCCGTACATGTTTCAATGAGAAACCATTTTCAAGGGAAATAAAAGACGTGGTCTTTGTTGACAGGTGGTCTTCGTAGACAGGTGGTCACTAAAGCAGGTGTGACTATTAATGGCTATGGTAAGAAGAGCGTGGTTGACTTCATAGCGAGCAAAGTTTAAAAGTAAAATCCAAACAAAAGGAAATACCTAAATAACATCGACAAGATCAACTATAAAATTCCGATTATTGCCCAATCCTGAAAGAAAGATTAATATTTTAAAAGTGGAAGAAGTACACATGATTTCGCAGAAATAAACAAATTCAAGAAAAAAGATTGCCAAATTGTTAAACATGTGTGAGTTGTAATTTTCCCACATCTTTTTTAGGTCATCCCAACCACCACAAAAGTTGTAAGCGTGTTCTTTATAAATTCCGAAAAATATTGGTATCGACAAGCGACACGAAGCGGAATCCTGACCAATATTTTGTTTTTGTTCAATACTCAAACGCCATACAAGTTGATAAAGCATTTGAATAACATTCAATCAAATGACTTTGCAAACATCATTGGCTACACGAGAGATCAGGTGCTCTTTCAAAATGTGACCATCAGGGATAATGGTACGCCAATTGGGATTTAGTTGGGGATGCTGTTGGTCAAAGTTTGTCTTCGAGATCTCTATACTGAAGTCTTCCCGTGGGTTTTAAAAGAAAAAACACAAAAGAACAAACAAATAGAGACATGGGGCAGATAGGCAAAGAGACGTATTTTGGTATTTATTCCCAATAAAAGTATGCATCTGTATTATTTAAAAAAGTTTTACAAATCAAATCTGCGTTTCTCTGTATTATATTTTTTCCTCCCCTTTCACCTTGTCCCCTTTTCTCCTTTCCTCCCTTCACTCCACTTCCTTCTTTACCCCGTCATTACAAGTAACACCATTGCAAAGAATTTCAAAAAGTCATTCTATAATGCGGCCTTGTGCGTGGCCGTTTAACATCTGCAGACATTTCAAAGACATCAATTTTACATAATCTCAAGGCCTCTGGATGGTGGCTTACGATCAAAGATAAATTGCACAGGAAAGCTTTTGGCCTTTTGATTGTGGCTTACGATCCATCGTAAGTCTCACAAGGAACCCTTTGGCGTCTGGGCGCTGGCTTACCACGATCAATCGTAAGTCTCCCAACGCTTACGATCAAAGATAAATTGCACAGGAAAGCTTTTGGCCTTTTGATTGTGGCTTACGATCCATCGTAAGTCTCACAAGGAACCCTTTGGCGTCTGGGCGCTGGCTTACCACGATCAATCGTAAGTCTCCCAAGAAGCAGTCAAGGTATTTGACGAGAGAAATCATGTGCAGCTGGAACGCTGATCCCACTTGGCATGTGGACGATTGATTGAGGAAACCTGTTAGCACTTGTTAGCACCGGAAAACGTGTTAATTATTTTCTAGAAATCTTTATCTCTCTTTCTTAAGCATTATTTTATTCCAAAACACGTTTTGGGTTTCCGAGAAAAGTCTCCTAACTACTCGCATTACTTGACGTGGCAGAGTTGTGGAAATTACATGATCTTCTACCAATATTATCTTCTTAACCGAATATAAGAACAACTACCTGTTTGCGAGATGAGAGCAAAGAAATGAATTTGATTCACTTATCAAAATATCAAGGCAGTGATTACTAGTATATATTACAATTAAAAGTTTGGAGCAGAGTTAGTATAAGAGTAACCATCAAATAAACAAGAAAAATCACAAGCAGTCGACCAATGTTATTTAGCTCAGCCTTTAAGAATTCAAGAAACAGCGTATTCTGCCTCCTCTGTTAGCTGTGAGAGTGTATAAAAGTAAAAGCTAGGCCAATGGATTCCAGCGTGTGAGATACGATGCAGAGGTTCGACCGTGCTCGTGTTTCTCCGAGGCGTCTCTTTCTCTGGTACGGTACGGTCAGGGAAGCTGGTACTATACCTTACTCGAGGCTAGTCACGACACTCTGTTATTGCTGTCATGCCGAATGCAAGGGATAATTGACAGTGTGTTTGTCCTATCCGCCTCGTCCCGCAGTACGATTTATTCATGAAAATGAGCCGTTTGTTTTCGTTGCGGCCGGCTTAAAATGTACCCCGGTTGCCCTTTTGTTCCATTTTACTTCTCAATGACATTCAAGGGCAGCATAGCTTTTTAACAAATAATGATAATGATGATAATACTACAACAATAATAATAATACGTATAATAATATTAACAATAATGATGATGATGATGGTAGTGATAATGATGATAATGTTAGTAATGATAATAATAATAATAATGATAATAATAATAATAATAATAATAACGATAATAACAACAATAACAATAGAAATAATAATAACAATAACAATAATATCAATAATAGTACAACTAATAATGATAATAACAATACTTTACTTTATATCAATGTCACCCCAATGCTTGAGTCCAAAGGGTGCATTTATTATTCTAAAGAGATTCAAGCAACTGTCACGTTGGAAAATAGAATACTAATGGTTATGAACAATGGGTAAATTCGAAACACTGCATGTAAAGTATACTATATGTTGTGGAATTTGCTATACTATTAGCCGTCCCAATATAAAAATTCATTCAAATACGATAGCAATGACTTTCGAGAAATGAATTAAGACCATTTCAATAGCCTTTGCACCATACGTTGAAATGCGCGAACTTTACAATGCTATGTTACATAATTCAATTGGATTTCTACAGGTAAATGGTAATACAATAGGGTATACGGCTTAGCATTGAGTAGATATCTTAAAAGCCTTTGTGATCCTGTCTACGGGACAGTATAGATCATCGTTGAATATATTCACCTGTATTTTGTAAAGCGAAGTAACTTAACAATCCCTCTCGCACGGCAGTAAGATCAAATTGTGTTTTTCATAATGAACTGCTTGCCCCAAAAATATGCGTCTTAGAAACTCTAAGCAGAAGCAAGTCACGGACAAGGTATAGGAAATGCAGCTTGAAAATATCGATCAAATTTGGTTAAAGAAATAGCCCCGGACATTCCTTGTTTAGACAAGCCAAGGGTATGTGATGCCAGTTTTAGATGGCGGTTCTAAAATAATGTTATTTTGCACCCGAAATTTATTACTAACGATCGATCGTCTTCTCAGTACATTTTCATGAAAGGAGAAAAAAGTTGCAACCTTCCTGTGCCCAATTTCCACACTCATTTTTTAAACCGGAAATGTAATGTTTTGAAGGTAGGCCTACATGAATTCGTTTAATAATTTTCCAACTTCTGCTAAGGTGGCGAAATCATTTTTTTCTTTTCTATCGTTTCTCTCTCTTTCCCTTTCTCTCTCTCTCTCTCTCTCTCTCTTTTTCTCTCTCTCTCTCTCTCTCTCTCTTTCACCCTCTTTCTACTTCCCTTTATACGATCCAGTCTCTCTCTCTCTCTCTCTCTCTGTACCTTTCTTTTTCTCTCCCCTCTCTCCCCTTCTCTTGCTTTCATTTTCATTGCCATTTTGGTTTGGGTAAGGAGCATTTACCCCTCCAAATATTATTCTATCATTGTTATTATTATTTTAATTATCATTATCATCATTAATATTGTCATTATTATTATCATCATTATAATCATTACTAGTACTATCAATGTCTAAACCTGTCATTTCTTTGCTATATTCCAGGTGATATGACAGACTGGAGTCATCCATTATTTCTCATCTACCACGACCCTTGTCGATTGAAACCTGGTCTTGATAAGCACTGGACAGTGGGTACATTGATGCGATCTCAACGGCTGCACGATCAAGAGGTGTCCACACCTGAAAACCTCCAGAGGTACGTAGAAATCAAATAAGTAATACTATAGAGATATCGACTGCTTTGAGAGGCCTGGCTGTTTTTATTTGCTCAAGGGAACTTCCCGAGAGCATATAAAAACAGCTAGACCTCGAATATTAAAGCAGTCGATATGTCTTTTTTATGCCGAATCCAAACAAAAATCTATCAAGAATTCTGACCTTATTCTTTTATTGAGTAAAGATTGGTTAAAACATCACGGAAAATCTGAGAAACTGTCTTTGCCGGAAAAATTACTGAAATTTTCGATCAGTTGGGAATCGCAGACAAAAAGCACTGTATGGTGTCCGCGCTCGCTCAAAGAAAATGTTAACACGTAAACAAATGGGTATCGCAGCAAAATTGTATTATTTTCCTGGTAACCGGAATTTTACTCTTGGACTACAAAACGGTTTTGGCATTTTTCGTTTCTTTACGGGAATGGCTAAAATCACGACTCCAATTTCGACCAATCAGATGGCTGGATTTCTAAAGTGAGGAATATAATAATATAAATAATAGCTACTTTCGTATTACGCACGCGTATGCATCCTAGGGGTTCCTCAAAGCACCTGTACTATAGTTTTATTACATGAGCTGCATTTACACTTTCAAGTAAAAATCGTCGTTTAATGTGTTTTTCCAGTAGACAGTGTAAATGCAGTCTGAAAATCGACGATTAAAAAAAATGTGTTTGGGATGTGTAAATGGGCGTACTGGTTTTTTAACCAAGTTGCCATAAGGCGCTAAAATCATTCAATGAAGAAATTCCGTATAGGTACATTTTCATTCACCTTGGTGGAGAGTGTCAAATGTGGATTTTTAATGTCATGCCAAATGAGATTAGTGCCGTGGCTGAACTCGAACCGCTAACCCTACAAGTAAAATCCCCCTCCCCCCCGTTATCAATTTCTGAATACGCCACTATAAAATGGATACATGTTAGAAGAAAATAACCACTTAATGAGTACGTGATATTCCAATAGAAGACGCTTGATGAATCAAATTATTGTAATTATTATAGCTACAATACGGTAGTATTCCAGAAATTAAAAGTAATAATTCATCGTCAGCTATTCACATTGTAGTTTTCTCCATTACGCATCCAAGGATCAATGAGTATAGAAAATGATTTTCTCTCAGCTTTATTGCCCCGAATAGTGTCAATATTCCTGAACAATATCGCATCGTAACAGAGAATATTATCCTCCACACTTCCTAAACACACTCCCCACACTTCATTAACTTCATTTCCCTCCAAAAATTCCATCTATACATCTCGTCAATTTTTCATTTATAGCCTCAAGCATTTTTACCGCAAATTTTAACTCCCCCTTCCTCCTCTTTTTTCCAGCTCGATTTTCCAAATATTATGACTATGTACAGACGATTCGGCCAAATGCAATCGATTTCTAGTTTCTCGACCCCTCCCCCTTCCTCTTTTCAGCCCAACTCAATTTGTTTTGCATCATAATGAAATGAATAAGAATATAACGATATCTATAGACAGCGGGGCTAGCAGAAATAATTTGTATAGATATCTATCATGTCTATTTCAATTTCAACATGAAGAGGCTCTGTACTGCGGAATTGAAATAACAAAACAGATGTTGAAATTGGCCCGATTGCATTTGTATAGTATGTACAAAAAATATCAAATATATAAGTAATCAAATAAAACCTCCTAATCCTCATTTACAAAAAATATAAAATCCGGACGGGAAACAAGAAAACAATTTTGCTTGGCCTTGAATCTGGAGTGGGGATGTAGACAATTGCGCGCAGGTGCGGGTTAGAATAATGTTTAGATTCTAACGAAAACTCAGGTGTTCTTTATTTTGATGAAAAGGGAAGGGAGGATGTCAGTTTTTGACTGACAGTCTCATCATATTTTTTTCTCATTTAGACACGCATGAATAGAGCTGTCTGTGGGCACAATTTAGGAATGTATGATTATGAACCAATTGACTGGAAAACCAAACAGATAGATTTATCTCTTGGAGAGTGATTTTGCTAGGGGGCTGCTCGCTTATGAGTCATCAATGGGTGAAATTAGACCCATGTCCTTTCGGGGGCTCACACTGTTACTGTACTTTTCCTCTTCATGATCTGTATTGATCTGTATACTTTTTACAGAAGAAAAATCATCCAGTTGATGACGTGCCCGAGGTGATTGAGTTTCAAATTGGGAAGAAATGCTTTGATTGAATGATCTGCCATCATTTCTTTTTTCTCCATTTTGGGTAATATGCAGAAATGCGTTGATATTAAATGGATTGTCCTGTTTTACCCATTTCTTATTTTAACTCATTTCCGTGTATTAATTTCTATGCAAGGTGCATTTCACAGAGTAGTACCCCTTTGAAATCTGCATGCAAAACTGTATCTCAAGAAATGCATTTCAATCTAGAGATGTCACAATATCTTGTAGATTTCATTATTGAACCGTAGGAACTTTTTGATTGCATCTATCTTACACACAAACACAACTATCCCAAAACTCTATAAAGTGACGTCGTATTAAGAATCATCGTATAGCGAACATACAGGGCGTCCACACACATGAAACGTCGTATAGAATCATCGTATAGCGAACAGGGCGTCGACACACACAAGATAAGAAACTTCGCATAAAGAATTGTATACAGAAACTGATTTTGACGAGATCGATTGACATGACAGCCGGCCAATCATGATTGTGCGGTCACGTTAAGCCCCGCCCAGTTATACCGTTCTAGTTCGACCATACGTCCACACACAAAACATTCCGTGATTCTTTATCGAGTTTTAGTTCGAAACGATGACCAGATCCGCCTTTCGTTATACGACGTTTCTATACGATGTATCGTTAGTAAGCGTTCACACACACAATTTATTCGTATGGCTATCCCGAAACGGTACCGTTTCGGGATAGCTATTCGATGAATTTAGTTTGTTTGGACACGGGGTTATATACTTTGATAAATAGGAATTCAATACCTTCTACATGCATGGTTCCACCAAGTAGCTTGATTTAATACAAAATAAATTTGTTCACGGAGATGTGGGCCACTTAGAATCGATCTTCTGCAGACATTTGTCTACCAGAATCATGGTCTCGAACGGTATGTCTATTTTGCCTTCTTGTATTACAGGAAGAACAAACATAGACAAAAACACGACTATACGTACCAATTATGGAGAAGAAAATGCAACAATGACCCCCCCCCCCCCCCCCCGTAATATGGAAATGTTTTTGACAGTCTCTTCGTACAGAATTTCCGAATCGGAAATCATTCTTTTTTTTTAATCGTGCGATATTCGGTTTTATACTCGCCAGGCCTATTATATGTCTTCACTGGTTTGAAGAATGTTGGTCTGTTGGGCCTTTTTATTAATTTGTCAGGGATTCACTAAAAAAAATATTAAAAAACAGCCCGCAATATTGGCGTATTCTTTCTTATATTTTTCTTTGTTTTGTCGGTCTCTTAGATTGTCGGTTTAATTTGGTGTGTGTCCTGAGGAAAGTTGCCCTATGGTATATTTTTCTGGAATGAGGATTTTTGTGTGTGCCCGGAATCAAACGATGCACAAAACTTTATGTCGAGATACGTCATCCGCTCGCACTTGTATTGTCTGTATACCTGACTAATAGGGAGCAATGCTACGATGTTTAATAAATTCATTCTTTAAATCCCCACTGCACTACTTATAGCTACTTGCGCCCTCTATATAGCAAACAATACCTAATCGGTGCCTGATGGTTCCCCCCCCATGATCCTCTTTTTCTTATGTAAAATTGAGAGCTGATTTGATGAGATAACCACCTGCCAGTGACCTTGGAAGGAGATCTAATCCCCCCTGGCCAAACTAGTACAGATGGGCTTTAAGTATCCCTTTATTCTTCTCTTTTTGTGGACAGGGTGTTAGAAAACAGTCAGAAGCGGAGTACGTACGTGGAAGATGTGAAGGTATGGGAAGGAACAGAAGGCCAACATCCATGGAGCACATTCGATTTGAGGAATTACCAAGGCAACGGAAAGAGGAGGGTTGATTACGTGCTATGCAGCAATTACAATACACACATGATGCAGGTTTGAAAACAATTTGATTTGTTTTGATTTGTTTTTATTTTTACAAAGTGTGTAAATTATTTTAATACGGAAGTATCAATAATGGTGACGAGAAGTAAAGTGATAAGCACTAAAATATTTTTCGGGGGTGGGGGGGGGGGGCGGTCGTTCCAAAACAGTGTGAGTCAAAAAAAAGTTTACACCTAGAAAATTGCTAATTATTTAAAAAAAAATAATCGAAGAGTGTTTTATCCCAAATCGTTTGGTACCATTTTTGTGTGGTATGTGTTCACGCTTGGATGAACAGGAGACATTGTTTCGAGAGTGCAAAAATCGACTTGCGCCAAAGTTGCTTGGGTGATGTTTGAATAAAGCAATTGGGATTTGGGTATTAATTCTGTCTTTGCAGATCCAAATAACATCCCTATTCCCTAACAAAATTAATTTTTGGCGCAAGTCGATTTTTGCACTCTCACAAACAATGCCACCTGTTCATCCAAGCGTGAACACATATCACACAAAAATGGAACCAAATGATTTGGGATAAGACATTCTTTTATAAGATGTATAATAATTTACTGTTCATAGATGATTTTAAAAATAATTAGCAATTTTCTAGGTGTAAACTTTTTTTTGACTCGCACGGTATAGCGTGTCACTGCTCTATAGGCAATGTGACTGGTCTCACGACACCCCAATTAAGCCTTTGGTAGTTTTAGTTTTATATACATAGACGACACTAAACGTTCTTAGCCCAAAGGGTATTGCAATATTGCACACTACACAGGTGGAAGTATCCTTTGAAAAGGGGAAACAAAGGCTATTTAAGTAGCACCTCCATCGCTGTAGGAGTGATTATTTCAAAATGTACAAAGTGGGACCTCTTCCTGTTTTTACCGATCCATTAAAGACACCTATAGTGTCGAAAGGTCGAGGCTTTGATAATGGTGTGAACATACTCGATTTAGGTAACAACAACTTAAATGTGAAACCCTCTCTTTTCTCTCTCTCTCTCTCTCTTTCTCCTTCCCTCTCTCCCCTCTCTCTCTCTCTCTCTCTCTCTCTTCTTTCTTTCTCTCTCTCTCTCTCTCTCTCTCTCTCTCTCTCTCCCTCTCTCTCAGGAGTGTGAGGACTACGCCTTTGTGACCCAGCTGGCCACCTTGACCGATCACATCCCGATCAGTATGACCCTATCCACCTCGCTAGGCCCCGCCTGCGTCAAGGGTTGGCCTTCTGGTGCTAACCACTCTGGCCATGATGAGACAGATCGTGCAAAGCGATGTAAACTTCAGTACGAGACCACCGTATGACGACGGGCATCATTAACGACATCGATGGTGCATTCATAGACGATATCTTTGTTTTTCCTACTGTAAAGATGATTGTGTTTTATACGGTAGATTATGATGTATTTATGAACTTACTCTAACCACTCTAACCAAGAACATCTGATGTACTTTTTTCGGTTAAACAATTCCTCAAGATTGTTTGTGTTAACAATCTTATCAGAAGTTTTGAAGTTTATTGTAAGAAGAAGAATTGTTTTTCAAAAAAGTTGTACCAAGGAGAAAGGGCATAAAAGTGACACATTCCCTTTTAAAACGATGATTTTTTAATGTAATTTTACTACTACCTTATTGAGCTAAATAGCACAATAATGACTTCGAAGATACTTTTAGTATACATGAATATCAAGATATCAAGAATGTAAAGCGGAGTTAAGAGGAGAGGAATTTGATGAAGAGAAAGGAGATAAAAGATGATGCCGAAAAATAAATATTAAAGAAGGAGAAGATGAAGAAAAAAAAAATTAACGTAAAGTTATAGTGTGATGACGATACGTGATGACGATGAAAATGATGATGATGAAGATGTTAATGATCATGATGAAGATGATAATGATGATGACGATGACAGTATAAAAAACATTGAATGAGGAGAAGAAGAAAAAGAAGATGAAGGAGAAGAAAAAGAAGATGAAGGAGAAGGAGGAGAAGGAGAAGGAGAAGAAGAAGAAGAAGAAGAAGAAGAAGAAGAGTAGAAGAAGAAGAAGATGATGATGATGATGATGTTGCCAATGAACGTATTGACAATGTAGAAGAAGATTTGCAAACAGGTAGACAGATATAAAGAGGGATAGAACAGAGTGGTTCTTGATATATGATGAGAAACGTGGTAGGGAAAATGTGATAAAGATACAAATTTGCTTGAATATTGTCTTATATACAATTCTATTTTGTTTTTTAATTGAATTTTTTGAAGAGATTGAGGTTAAAGGCCCTGTTCCATGTATGAAATATTGACAAATTGTGCATGGCGTGCGTGCCTATATAGAGAGGAGAAAAAAACATCTTTCAACAGCTCTCTCTGGTACTAGTCCACTGGAAAGGAACACCGACCTGGCATTACACTTCTATTTAATCAATATTCATTGAAAACAAAAATGTAGATATAATGATGATTATGTAGAAATTTGAAAGAAATTTTGTTGTTGCAATTTTAAGGTTTTCCGACTTATTTAAATGTTTACAACATACTTCAATGTAATGAATACAAATCTTGAGTATAATCACTTTTAAAATGCTACAGACATCGACAGAAAATATAAAAGGAGTTTAAGGATGGATGCAAAAAGAAAGGGAAACATGTATCTACATGTATATGGATATTATGTTGTGGAAAGAAAAGCGTAAACTCAATGATCGTTTATACTCCATGAACCGTCACATATTGGATTATAGTTTCTGTAATAGTTATTCTAAACCAATATACCTCTTATATAAGTATGTAAGTATAAAATTGCATTTTCATGATTCATTTTGGAAGTCTTCTTTATAATTATGTTGAATATTGTGAATCCACCATATGATTATGATTCACACCATTTTTTATTCCTGAAAATTAAGGATATCACAACAAAGTCTATCATACGAAATATTTTCTTTTAGTAACACGTATTAGATAACTACAATTATGAGAAATGATACTATGCAGATTGGGACTATAGTCATAGATAATGTGTATATTAGCATGTCTTAGGTAGCTGTTTCATTCATGTTTTTCGGGTGTTTTTTTTTAAATTCGTAGTTTTTTCTCGTCTGACCACCCCATAATCCTATGCATTTGATTTGAACAAACGTGCATTCGTTATCAGATTTAAAATTGTGATTGTCTCTATTTTCCCCTTTGGGTGGAGGGGGGGGGGGGAATTAAAGGATCACTAATTGTATGTTTGTTGTAACGACTACTTCTTGAAACTTTGAGCCCCACTTTCCTCAAAGAAACCAAAACGCCACGTACTATTTGAGGCTCATTGTCTCGTGGAAGTTATTATAATCGTCCATTCTTTTAAATGTAAGAAAATATTAAACTATTGAAAAAGTGCTTGCTGTTTTCAAGATATGTTTACCAAAACACCATGTATTATTTTGGGCCCATTGTCTCGTGGAAGATAATATAATCATTCATTATTTTAATTGTAAGACAATAACTATTGAAAAGTACTTGCTGTTCTCAAGATATGTAATTATGTGAAATATCATTCAAGCTATTGAACTATTGATAAAATGATTATTCTTTCATTTGAGCTATGCACTTACCTTCGTATGAATTTGACACTTAGGTGCATGATGACTCAACAGCCTTTTATATACATACCGTTTTTCTGCAATATCCATTTGTTTGATTGTTTGATTGTTTGTTTGTTTGTTATTTTTACCCTTGAAAGGTATTACGTTTTAGCTAACTGTATAATTTGAAACATGTATGATAGTTAGTGTAATAGACTGCAGTGTATAACCAATGTATAGTTCACTACTATGATAATTATTCTGTATCATGCATGTACACAATTTCGGTACATTAAATTGAATTACGAAAAACAATATTTGTGTAACTTTTCATTTCGTGTTTGTGCAACCAAACTTTGTTCACGCATTTCTATAATTTATCATGATGATCATGGTCTTATGCGTCGATCACTAAGGAGGGTTATGTACATTTTGTTATGACTGTGTGATGAAAATATAAATTTGATTTAACCATTTATTAATCGTATTAACACATTGACTGGAAATGATGCTAGAGCAGTACGACAAATCTATGATAGCCTGACATTTACTCTGTCCATCGGAATGGAAGAGAATATGATTTAAAAAGTTATTTAACACTGATCATGAGGCTAATGAATATAACAACATGTAAGAAAAAACTAAGTATACATGTATCTACCGGGTGTATCCTGTGTGCGTGCGCGCGTGTGTGCGTGCGTGTGGAGCAATTACCAAAGATGGCATCATAATAAATGATAATCGTGTTTACCTAGGGTAGCCACATCAAAATTGAAACTGTTCTGTTTTAGGACCACTTCTTACCTCGGCATTGCAAGGTACCCATTTACATACTAGCTCCTGTGTCGAAAGAGACAACATTTGATAAAATACCTTGTGCAAGGATGTAAGCATCGAGCAAGGATCGAACCCACGACCTTTTGAATGAGAGTCATCAAGAGCCTTCACAGTGCTACAACTGTGGTATGTGAATTAAAACTGTCAGATAATGAAGGAAAATACCCGACAGAGGAGTCGTGTATGATAAGGCTAAGGATATATTGATATGGATAAGGATGATGATAAGGATGACGATGATGATGATAATAGTGATGGTGACGATGATGATGAGGACAATAGTGATGGTGATAATGATGATGATGAAGAAGATGATGCAGATGACGACAATAGTGATGGTGACGATGGTGACGATGATGACGATGATGATGAAGAAGATAATTGATGATGATCGTCATGCCAACGTATTCAACGTAATAAACGAAGATCATTAAGATAATTGATGTCTTTAAAACACAAATCATAGTATAAGTGTGGCATAATGTCAAACGATGCCCAAATGTAATTGATTCTATACTTAGCAATTAAAACGCCTGGAGTAAAACGCGCAGAGTCTCGGTATTCCTATAATGAGCAAGTCACCTTTCCTTGGCAGAATGTATAATTAGACATTTTCTCTGCCAGAGCGTAAGAAACTCCCCGAAATGCCAAGACAATCAATCAAGATATCTGCGACCGCTTTCTGTCTCTGTCCGTCTCTGAACATCTGCCATTAATTGGAGCAACTTAATTGAGCAATACCACCGTAGTTTATAGCTGCAGACCCGAAAAATCGAGAAAAAAGAAAGAAAATCGCGTTATCACTGGGCTACGACAATTTCCAAAACTAAATTGAGAATGGCTCGAGACGGGATCGAGACAACGCGACGAATCTTGTTTTTTAAAGAAAATTTATCACACAAATTTCCAATGTGGGATATTCAGTAATGACATGTCATGAAGCACCTAGGACAGAGGGAGGTAATGATTTATACTAACGTTTGTATGACATTTTGGCTGACGTATCCAGCAAACAGCGAAGCCTGTTCCTCCCCCCCCCCCCCCCTTTCACAATTGAACCTTGTCATGCTAACACACTTTTTAAAACCTAAGGAAAAAAATCACACCACTTGTGACGGGTCTATATGTATTTTTTGTATTTTAGCTGAATTTAGTTTGAATTTTAGTTGAATATCAACAAACATGATTGGGTGCGCGCGTGTGTGTGTGTGTGTGTGTGTGACTTTGCTTCTACAAAAAGCATATTTGCAATATATTTCTTTTATTTATTTATTTCTTTTATTTTGTTAGTCTTTTTTTTAGTAGGGTGGCTCCATCAGTAGTTAAATACTGTCTTCCGTGGAGGCCCATTTGAATCATTCAATTCATTCTCTCACTCCGCTAATCCCAATATTACACATACTGTAGACATCACTTTGGCGCAAGTCGATTTTGCATTCTCGCAAACAATGCCTCCTGTTCATCCAAGCGTTATCACATACCACACAAAAATTATACCAAATGATTTGGGATAAAACACTCTTTCATAAGATGTATAATAATTTAATGTTCATAGATGATTTTTTAAATAATTAGCAATTTTCTAGGTGGAGATTCTTTTTGACTCACACGGTATATAATAGGAGCTGGTTATAAGTTTTGCATCAAGATAGAGGGTATGAAAAGGTAGGAGGTAGGGGGAGGGAGAAAGAGAGAGAGAGAGAGAAAGAGAGAGAGAGAGAGAGAGAGAGAGAGAGGGAGAGAGAGAGAGAGAGAGAGGGGAGGAGGGAGAAGGGGGTGGGAGGATGATGATTGAAATGTATGCATCATGGTATCGAATATTAAAGACTTTCATCATCAGTATGAAACAAAAAAATCCTATAAATGATGTTTGCGTTTTTCATACCCACGTGTTGATATAGGTCTCTCTGTTTCTTTCTCGCTTTCAATCTGTATATGTGTATGTTTGTCCCCCCCCCCCCTCCCCCCCTCCCCCCCCCCCCCTCTCTCTCTCTCTCTTTCTTTATCTGTCTCTGTCGCCGTCTCTCATTTCTATTCTGGTTCAGTCTCGATCCTTGTATTTTACACATTTTTTTGTATATTTTGGAACGGTCAAAGTTACAGCTTTCCGACAATGCAGTACAAGTTCTCAAAGAGTTCATGACACGAAATCAAGGGAATAATTTGTTTTTATTACAAATATGAATGAAATAAACTATATACGGTAAAAGGATGCTGACGACAGTAACAGTGGAGGAAACTAGATGGAACTCATGATGCCTCCGCCATAGAGCGATTTTACAAACCAAAACAGAGGCAAATTTTCAAATTAAAGTTTAATTGTAATCAATTAACAGGTTCTCAGAATATGATGATTGCAAGCTATTTATCATTTTACATGTATGACCCTTTGAACTTTGACCTCATGACCCTAAAATGTACTCGGTTCATTGGCTCTGCAAGATACATATATGTCCCGAGTTTGATAGTAATCCATCCGATAGTATTGACAATGCGATCGCAAGCTATTTTTGCATACATAATGAGCCATGTGACCTTTGAACTTTGACCTGAGGACCCCAAAATCTAATCAATTTATCAGCTCTGCAAGATACATACATGACCTAAGATTGGTGGTAATCCATCAATAGGTTCTTGATAACGTGATCACGAGCTATTTTGCATACATAATGAGCTCTGTGACCTTTCACCTTTGACCTCGTGACCCCAACATCTGATCAATTCATCAGCTCTGCAAGATACATACATGACCTAAGTTTGGCGGTAATACATCAATCGATTCTTTAGATAACGTGATCACAAGCTATTTTGCATACATAATGAGCTCTGTGACCTTTGACCTTGTGACCCCAACATCTGATCAATTCATCAGCTCTGCAAGATACATACATGACCTAAGTTTGGCGGTAATACATCAATTGGTTCTTGAGATAACGTGATCACGAGAACGGGACGTACGGACGGACGGACAGACGACCAGAAAACATAATGCCTCCAGCTACAAAGTATTCTTTACAAAAATATAATAACTTTCCTACTCTTTTAGAATAAAAATGGTGTTCTAGATAAATGATCATAGGCCTACTCAAATAAAATGTATTTATCCATGTCCCCCCCCCCCCCCTTTGTTTATGGGGGAGGGGGGAGGGGATTCCTTTTATAGATACATTATATCTATCTACTCACAATTACATCATACACGATTCATCCTTTTGACCCGAGCCTTTAGCCATTACTAACATTTACAAATGTTTTTGTTGTGTGTAGTATTTAAATTTCATCATCTCAAGTAAGAGGTGCATGTGGTGCAACTACCACAAAATGTTCAAATAAGAACATAAAATACAGTTTAGTATAGGGAATAGTTTAAAAATATATATTTCACAGGTAGATAAATATTTAAAATGTCACACTTGTTAATACATCATATATGGAAACTAAACTGAATATAGTGCTATGTGAGTTTATTGAAAATAATAATACTGTTATATATAAAATATATATATACAAATACTACTGTATCAGTTGAGGGTGTAATAAAGTACAATGTAGAAATGCTTATACCAGAGATTGGAGTTCGTTCAGGTCATGAGGGAACAAAATATGCTCAAATATAGTAGAACATTATACCCACATAACAGTATGAAAACCTGTATTTCTGAGAAAACACATATTTTGTCATTTGAATACTCCCCAAGGAGTGGAGATGTTGGACATTATGAGGGACTGAAATCCAGTGACAAGGGCCTTGTTTCATCAAACTTTCTTCATCAAAACTACTGCCACAGAACTATTACATACATGTACATACATGTATCTGCACATAGCCAATCAAATGTCAGGATGTTAGTAGCTCAACATAACATTCCCGAATCTTGTTTCAACATTTTGGCATAAAGATATTTTTGCGAGTCAAGGGAGTCAAATTCACAAGCTTTAAGATTTACGTAAAGCCACAAGCACTGCCAATTATTTACTTTTCAATAATTGTAAAATTCATAGAGGTATTCTTGTTATGCCATCTATAATAATGTTAAATCTCATTACTTTTGGTGGTTTCTTGGGTCGTCCTGAGTGACGTCACTCTGGTGGCAGCACATCCTGAACAATCTCATGCATGAAAGTATTTAAGATGGTTTTATCTACACACATATTCACAAAAACAAAGAAAAATGAAAGCAGATAGAATTTCTAAAATTTTATCTAGCCTTATACTATATACTCTTTCTATTTTTGAAGATATTGTAGAATTGTTTCCTGAACATTTAGCATTATATAAACAATTTCGTCTGTTGAGTTAAGCACATTAGCTTTATGTGAAAGTATATGAGTTAACACCAGGGGTGGATCCAGCCGGCGGCAGGGGAGGGGGCCCAATTCGTGAGAAAATATTTAGCGGTGAAACAGCAGGCCGATACTTCGCTCAATGGGGTGTTGTTTTTTTTGGCCCTCCCCTGGATCCACCACTGGTTAACGCCCTTCTGACTCCAAACATACGATACCATTGTGGGTTTGATCAGTGAACTGAAATGCACCATACAAATCACACATTTCAATAACACTGTCCGATGCTGCGTATTACCTTAAAAATACACAAATAAAACAATGGTTCTGTGTCATACAGATGACATAGTAACTATCTCAATAATCTTAGAAGGAAACATTGATAAATAAACATAATTTATAAATGAAATATCACACTGACTGGCAAGACCACTATGGACTATGTGTAGTTTAATACATATTGCTTTTTACAAATGCTAACACAATAAAACAATCTCTCATCTTTAGTATCCTCTAAGAATGTTGTACAACACAAAAATGCCCATTTCTTTTTTCTTGTCATAGAAAAAGAAAATCTTGTACTAGATGTGTTCTACTATCCAGGGAACAAGAGATTGATACAGATATCTCCAACACTGATTACAGGAGAGGGGTCAGTGACACAAAGACGTAACTCCATTTTTGCCATTTTGAGAAAAAGTGGTTTATGTGTCACTGGGCACTTGGGCCTTCAGGAGTTAAGTCCATGTTTCACTAGCCATTGACTTCAATGGGGTGTTGGGTGGAGTTACAGTGTATGTATTTGTGTTTCCTTGAAAGCCTACATTTTTCTGAACATTTTGATATCAAATACTCATTTTGGCAAAATATGGAGTTACGTCTTTGAGTCACTGAACCCTCGATATATGATAACTTATAGATTGCACTTATTACTCTTTCTCTAGTACGAGTTTATCAATTCACAACTGTTGTCTGTCCCTGCCAATATTGGGCAGAGGCTATTTCTGAGCTTCGATAAGGATGGGACAAAATGATGACTAATTTAAATAAGTAAAGCCTATTCATTGTATCTCCTACAGACTATCTCCCTCACTTTTCAAAAGACTTTTGACTGGTAGGCGGGAATATCTCAAATCACGACTGCAATTTCGACAAATCAGATGGCTAGATTTCTAAAGAGAGGTATATAATTTAATATACCAAATGTTTACTGTTATTGATTGAATATTTGTACTGTGTTTAAAAAATAAACAATTATTTTGCAGACGTTTGGGGAAGGGGGGGGCGGGGGGTAATATATGTATGTAAATGCACTTCTTCACTAGAAATAATGAAATAATTTGCGTCATGATTTAGCCAATTTTGATATTTGTCATAATATAACACTGAAAACAGAGATGGAATGATGAAGTAGTTCTGCCTTTTGTCAGAACGATATCATCACGTCTAAAATGGGCGCTAGTTTTGCGTTCAGAAGCCCAAACACCCTAAGGAGCAGGCTTATTCATCCTAAAGATAAATCAACTGTAGAAGAAAGGACAGGCATCGTCTATGAAATAACATGCACTGATAGTGACAATTAATAATTCCTATGTTGGAGAAACAGGGAGAATACTGAAGGATTGATTGAAAAACACAAAATAGCCATACGATTGAGCAATCCATCTCATTCAGCAGTAGCAGAATATGCCATTAAAGGTCCAAATATAAGTTAATGTGCAGGGCTGTATACAGCTCATATATTGTTATTCAAACATCTAAATATATTTTATAGATTTTTAAATATTGTTTTAAATAATTTTCTCAGACCTGCTAAGCTCCACCCTAAAAAAAATGCTCCAGATCTCATTTCCCTAATGACATCATCTGTCAATCATTAGTGAGCTAACAAAAGACAGAGCTGATCACCTGTTTTTCAATAGACCATGCAATACCAACATAGGAGTTGCTATGTCACATGTGCAGTAGCATCGCCAGGAAAAGAAAGGTAATGTGTAGGTATTGTATGAAAGAATGCAATTATTTTAGGAGCATGTGCCGAGCTGGGGGAAGTTACATACCACTGTCTCTTGTTAGCTCACAAATGATGTTCAAGTATCATAACACACATTCCTAATAATGTCACCTTATACAAATTAACAACAATTAATCAATATACAGGAATATATCCATTTTAGGGAGGCGTTCATGATTCAGTTTCTCAACAAATAAATACTTTTTAATTCGATAGCAGTGTGTCAAAGATCAACAAACATTAGCTTTTAAACTCTCATATCCTGTGCAGTGCTCTTTTCATTTTGGAGCACCTAAAAAGCTCAGTTATTAACGAGATGACTGCCAAACCACTTTTCCACAAATATCCATGATCCTTAAAAACCCATTTTCAAATTAAACCGTAGAGGGCTTACTTACAAGCCTTCTACATTGCCAAGGAGATCAGATTTGATGTACCATTACGCACTTTTTACCGGCTCAATTTGAGGAATTCCACTTCCTTGTCAATGGATTAAATAACTGATCACTCTTAAACGGTAGCCACAACATGCCTGGTGAATCATCCAATCACGTCACTCCTGTACGTCAGAGGTGTAAAGTCCAGCGCATGGACTCCATGATGCTTTGAACAATGAAACAAGACCCTGCTCAAAGACATCCTGTCCTTCTTCTCATCTGACCTGCAAATGAGTGCATCTCTCTCTCTCTGGCTCTCTCTCTCCTTCATTTGTCCTCCATCGATGTTGCAAGCACTTGCTTTAGAACATCATCTTCTTCTTTATTATAATCCTACAGGAGAAAAGCAGAACAAAAATAGTAACATGTAGACTTGAAGGCAATACATACTATTGGTGCATAGATACGTGTATGCGCAAAAAATACATATCTTTATTTACGAGAGCATTAAAATCACGAGAAAATATCATCTTTTTGGTCAATCTGCTTCTATTTTTAATCAAAATTTTAACGATACTAATGGCTGTAAATTCAACAGTCCTAAAATTGAATCAGGATATGAACCTATATGCTATTATCATACAATTACTATGAACGGTGTAAATATATGTCAAGTGAAATTATATGAGTAAAAAAAAATATGAAAAATTAATTTGAAAGTGATTAAAAAAAAATTTGCTATTAATAATAATAAAAAATAAACAGTGACAGCATAACATGTAATTAAGGCTCATACCAATGTTGGATTTAGTAGAAAGTTTTCATCCACTCCTGTGGACTTTCTTAAGCCAAGTGATTCTTCATGCAGTTTCTTGCTGTCTGCTGCCTTGAGATCACTGTGAGGAAGACAGGTGATAGTGTATAGCCCGATCATATTGATCCTCGAGTCATCCAGTCATCTCAAGACAGCAGACGGCAAGAAATTACGGTATGTGAAGAATGACTTGGCTTGAGAAAGTCCACAGGAGTGGATGAAAGCCTGCCTGCTTAATGTTAAGGTTGGCAGAAGCATAAATTACATGTTACGGTATATGATCACCCTGATAAATAGAAAAATGTCAGTATTAGTGACAGATAAATCAAAACTGTTCAAGATTGGATTGGAAAAAAGATTGACCTCTGGCAACAACATGTAAAATCAACCTATTTTAAGTCCTTGTAGTAATACATACTGGCATTTTGGGGGTTTGACGTCAACCACAAAATTGGTCCTTGAATTATCACAATATAACAGTGAGATAGCTAGTTTTGTCATGAAAATTTGTTTAACCCTTTTAACCCTTGACATGCAACAATTTAGGATATATACATAGAACATTTACCTGGTAAAGTAATATAAAGAATAAAAGTAAATCTGTAATATCACCATTTCATCTTGAATTTTTAACTATGCAACTCAAACTTCCTAATACAGCAGTAGAGATAGCAGACACCTAACATGTATCAAGATAATACCTGCAAGGGCTATAGCAGGCATCAATGTAATAATAATAATAATAGGTCAATTTATATAGCGCAGCTACTATATGAATATACTCTCCTGCACTTAATACAAGGTATCATATTATTACCCCGGCTGTAGCTGAGCTGCCATGATAAGGCAGAAAGCATTTCAAGGAATTAAATTCCTGCCAGGTAGCCATTTACATCACCTGGGTTGAGTGTGGCAAATGTAGAGCAATGTCTTGCCAAAGGACATTAGTGCCGCGGCGGGACTCGAACCGCGGACCTTGTGATCGACAGTCCGGTGAGGTATCCACTCGACCATGTCACCTCTACATGTACGAAACAAGAGAGGCACTTACCACATAAGTATCGTACTCAAATTGATGCCTCAGGTTCATATGATGTAGAAAGTTACTGCTCTCATAGGTGGGGTCTCCCCAGGGCATAGAGGCACATATGGGGCATACAACGGGCGTGTCGTTGGACTTGTGTTCCTTGTTGCAATGTCTTCTCAGGCTGTCACAGTCGAGGTTCTTGGCTCCACAGACTGGGCACTGGAAGGTGGATCGGTTTGGAAGGTTGCTGAAAAGGAGAAGGAGATTGAGAACATGCAGAACTGCTGAATTTCAAAGCACGCTGTATCGAATATCAATTGGAACATATTTCACTTACCGGTAGATGTTGTGTGAACTTTACAGCAAGGGGAAAAGACATGGAATAGATAAATATGGAATAGATGTCCATGTATCAGACCTGAACAGTGATCTAAAATGGCAACCACTACAGAGTCGACATTTTGTGGCTAGATACTCGCTCTTCTACAAATCCATCAAAGACCAAGCCGCCATATCCATACCTGAATACATCACACAACCCTAGAAGATACTCAAGGGACACCATAGTCTCTCCTTCTCTAACATAAGATGTAACATGGATATTTATTGGCTCACTAACTTTCCAAGAACCATTCAGGCCTGGAATTTAACCCACCCCCCCCCCCCTCCCCCCTCCAGCATCGTTGCCTGCAACTTGGTTGATACCTTCAAAACCAGACTCTGGGAATCAATCCAAAGGGGTAATATAAGTATAGTCCCTCCCCACAACTGCAATGTGATGGGTCTAAATTCCAAAATGTTCTTGTCGCAACAAACACTCTCTCTTGAACGATAACGTTCTTATTGGTCACCTATATATCCCTCTTGAGGATCAGGACCAGGATCAGAACAGAATCAGAATCAGACTACAGGACATGTGGTTAAAGCCATTTACAGAACCTTGACGCCATGCTAGTTGAATGGCAATTATCATACAAGTACCTAAGGACAAGCACTGAGAAAGCTGCCTCACTCTAAAGCATATTGAATGAAAAACAAGCGCTCTGACAATATTTATGTTAAAGGTAACTCACCTAGGAGTTTTATAAGAAGTGGGACTATGAGGTTTCAACTCGAGTATAAATTGACTACCCTCACCTTGCTACCCTACATGATCATGAACATTCAGGAAACTAATAAAAGATTGGGATGTCTACAGTAAATTACCTTGGAGGTTTCTGAGCAGTAGGACCTACAGGCCAAAACTCTGGTTTAGATTGACTAGAATGACTATATACCCTAATATAGAACCTTAAAGAACATGGGTTGTCTTAGGCAACTTACCTTGAATGATTCTGGAAAGTATTGCCTACTGGCCAAAACTCTGGTTAAGATTGACTAGAATGACTACCCTAACATACAACCTTACAAAATGTGGGTTGTCTAACTTGTCTTATGTGACTTACCTTATAGGTTTCTGAGCAATAGGACCTACAAGCTTCAACTCTGATTTACATTGACTAAAATGACTACCCTAATATACAACCTTACAGAATATGGGTTGCCTTTAATAGGTAATTTACCTTGAAGGACTCTGAGAAGTATTGCCTACAGGCTTAAAGGCTGCTTTAGATTGGCTACCATCATCCACGAGTCTACAGGACATGGTATGCTGTCTCAGCTTGGACAATGTCATCTAAATATACACAAAAGAAAGACAATCAAGATACAGTCAAACCTGTCTACAGCGACCCCCCAAGGGAAACACAAAAAGTGGTCTTTGTAGACAGGTTCCTTTAGTACATGTTTCAATGAGAAACCATGTTGTAAACAGGAGGTCACTAAAGCAGGTTTGACTGTATTAAGGAGTGTTTTAGAACTTCACCTTTGAAAAAAAAACTTTAAAGTAGCCACACGAAGAATCAAAAGAGTTTTGAATTGATGCAAAACTCATATCATTGCGAAGGGGAAGCCTTGCTGATCAAATTACAACTCTTTTCTTCAAAATATGTTTGGGGACCGCAGTAATCAACTCTCAAAAATGTTAGTTTTGAGATCCAGGATTTTTGCCTTAATCAGAGCGTCAATATTTGTGACATCATATACGGGACACGGCTGGCTAGCTGCAGACTGCTACACGGCACTGAGCTGTTTGTCCAGTGTGTGACGTCACTATTCAGAGCTCGCTACGCTCATGTGTTTGGCTTACGTTCGGGGGCGCTTGGGGGTCTAAGAAGGTCTTGAAAAATTGCACTTTACGCCTTTCCATGATATCTATATGATTTCTCAGCAAATTATTAGTGTTTTTCAAGAGAAAATCTTTCCATCCATATGTAATTTGTTCTAATTATCAGTTGTTAGTGAATTTTCTTTGTGTAGCTCCTTTAAATGTATTCCAATTAGAACCAACGCAACTCTTTAATAAACCATCAATGAAACATGTATTCTGAGCACAATTTTATCTCTTAAACATATTATTTTACAGTGTTTCTCTAAAACAAAATTGATAATAGGAGACTGCTTTTTATCTCAGATTTCACCTTTCATTTATAAATTTCAATCTCTTACTTCTTGCTTACTCATTAGTCATAGGCCTACGCATCATACAAGCAAGTTTAACGCTAACGCCAGTGTATTTCAAGTAAAATTTAATTGGGTTTAAGTAGATAAAAAATGCAATACAGGCAGACTACCGGTAGAACTAATGTGGGGCTGGCTGTTTTGGTGAAACTAGCCCTTCTCAATACTAATAACTGGTCCCATTATGACACAAGATGACTATAGACATGTACTGTAACATTGATGAATTAGGCAGCATTAATGTAACTGTCATTAGAAATCTGGGCATCATTCCATAAAATCGTCACGACTACAAGTTCACTGACAGTCTGACACCCCATTGAAATGCGTGCATTGTAATTGACATGCGTTTCAATGGGATGTCGATGAACTTGTGCTTTGACAGTGTTGTGAAACCTGCCCCTCTGTGTACCTTCTTTTTGCAACCTATACAAGTGTCTTTGATGGATGTCATCTGTTTCTCCACATCTTTTGCTCTACTTCTCTCCTTGGGTTTAAAGGTCACTCGACATAGAGGGCAGCTCGGTGAAACCACGGTGATGAAGGGAGCAAGACACTCTTCACAGAACCTGCAAAAAAGACAGGAAATTGAAGTAGCAAAAGCCGCATGTATATTAGACCAAAAGCTTCAGAAGTTCAGTCTCTGATATCGGCGGTGTTCTACTTGTTCCACTGATCACCTCTATACAGTGCGTCCCAGAAAAAACAAAACTGAGAATTATTGATGTTTCATCATAACTTAATCACAATTATAATTCATAAATTACACATATTTGTAAAGCTTAGATCCTCCTCTTTCATATGATGCATATTTCATGCACGAGTAATTAAAACAATTTGAAGAGAGAAAACCAAAAAGTCATGTGGCGGGTGGTATCTGAATTTCAAAGAGAAAAATCACATTTCTAGAAAGTTCAATTTCTGCCTTTTTATATGACACCTCAATCAGGAAAAATAAGCCAGGAATAACAAAGTTGTGTGAGCTTAAAGTGTGATGCTTGCATTTCTATAATTTGATTAAACGAAATCGCTTTCACTGGCTCCCTGCAGAAAGAGTTCCATATATACCCCCGCTAAATAAAAACGAAAACAAATTCTTTTTATCTTTCTTTCTATCTCTCATTGTCTAACCCTTACCCTAACCCTAACCCTAGTTTCCCATGCATTATATATTATTATATTATTTTATTATTAGGTATATAACTCTGAAACATATCTATATTTTGTTTTCAATTTTAGTGGGGGGTACACTATGGAACTCTTGCCCCTGCGTGCACAAAGAAGACAATCGAAAGACTTGATAAGTTGATGCACGCAGGCGCAGATCCAGGATTTCTTAGGGGGCGGCCCAAATTTGAAATTTTGCTAGCCAAATATTGGTACGTAATAGTGGCTACTAAAGCAGTGGCATAATGAGCAAAATCTTTTTTTTTTTTTGGGGGGGGGCAGAACAAATTCTGCATCACCACCGCTCTTACATGGAGGCCCTGCTGAACGTTTTTCAAAGTGGGTGGGGGGAGGGGGAGGCTAGAGTATTTACAATCAAGTAGAGCGTAGCATTAATTGGTGTGGGGTCTAGGGGCAAAGCACCGGCGGGGGTCAAGTCGAAAGCTCAGGGCGTATGGGCATTTAATTACGGTCAGATGAGCATATTTTTATACCTTATTCGTGACACTGGCAGGACACTAATTGGCGTGGGGTCCAGGGGGCGGAGCCCTCAGAAGGTTTGGGTTTTAGGAATCACATTACAGTCAGATGAGCATCCAGTGGCCCGCCTTAGAGCCCTAGGTGGGGTCCAGAGCTCCCGGAAGTTCAGGGGTTTTAGGCATCACATTACCGTCAGATGAGCATCCAGGGGCCCGCCTTAGGGCCCTAGGTGGGGTCCAGTGGGCAGAGCCCCGGAAACTCAGGGATTTTAGTCATTTAATTACGGTCAGATGAGCATATTTCAATAACTTATTTGTGACACTGGCAGGTCACTAATTGACGTGGGGTCCAGGGGGCGGAGCCCTGGAAGCTCAGGGATTTTATGTATTAAATTATCGTCAGATAAGCATCCAAGGGCCCTAGGTGGAATCCAGGGGGCAGAGCCCCCACAAGCTCAGTGGTTTTAGGTATTAAATTAAGGTCAGATGAGCATATTTTGATACCTCATTTTTTTGTGACACTGGCAGGTCGCTGTTCTTTTTTTTCTCTCTTTCTTTCTTTTTCTCTTTAATATACTTTTTCAAAAAAGGAGGGGGGAGCTCAAGCCCCCCCGAACCCTTCGTTCCGCGTGCCCAGACATGTAGGCCTCTAAATAAACATATTTCTTGCCTGACTGTTAATTTGGGAATTTGTCATTTTCCAACAAATGCATAAAAAATATAATTCACTAAAAAGTGAGGAAAAATCCAAGAAAATCATGTCATTTTCAGCACAATTTGTAAATCACTAGTATCGAATTAGAAATAAACCATGCTTAAATTCTATTTGGTTACAATTGCAGTAAATTGCACCTGAAATTCCATCATTAGTCAGGTGGCTTAGTGAAATTTTCGTTACTTGCCGGATAAAAGCACCATTTTTGGTACAAGGCTCCCTTAGGACCTACTAAACGATATTAGGCTAGGAGCCTCCGGCAAAAATTTCAAATTACGGTTGTGGGAGCGGGGGCGTCTTTTGGAGCCCCCAAATAATTGTATAACATTGATTTGTTGTTGTACAAATGCCATTTTTGGTACAGGGCTTCCTTAGGACCTACTGAACGATATTAGGGTAGGAGCCACCGACAAAAATATCATATATGGGCGTGGGGCGGGGGCGTAGCCTCGTAGCCCCCAAATAATTTAGAAGGTAATATAACATTTATATGTTGTCGTACAAATGCCATTTTTGGTACAGAGCTTCCTTATGACCTACTGAACGATATTAGGGTAGGAGCCCCCGGCAAGAATATCATATAAGGGTGTGGGACAGGTGCGTCGCCTCGTAGTCCACAAATAATTTGTAATGTAATAAAACATTGATTTGTTGTTGTACAAACGCCATTTTTGGTACAGGGCTTCATTAGGACCTGCCGAATGATGGTAGGGTAGGCGCCCCGGGATACATATTCATATATGGGTGATTGGGGGCCCATCGCAACTGATCTCCCCCACCTTTCTTCTTCCTCTTTTTAATAATAATAATAATAATAATAATAATATTTAATATTTATATAGCACTTATTACAAATGTCTCTAAGCACTTTACAAATACATATTACCCCTGTCATTGGATTCAGTGCTTGCCCGCACACACTGTGTGCACAAATCTCCACTCCCTGGGGAGCATTCCAGCCAGGCGTTACATGACGCTCAAAAACTGTTTGACCAACAATGACGGTCGCATCCTACCGGGTACCCATTTAACACCTGGGTGGAGAGTAGCAAGTGCAGGTTAATATCTTGCCAAAGGATATAGTGCTGTGTCGGGATTCGAACCCTCTACCTTCACAACTCCAGTCAAGCGCCTTAAACCACTCGACCATGACACTCCTTTCCCTTTCCATTCCTAGCTTCCTTCTGTCTCTTATAAGTTTGCTGGGGAGGGGGAGGGTAAGGGCCTTTCGGTCCCGCCCCCCCCCCCCCCCCCCCCGATCCACATGTTGGTGGCGGAATTAATCGCAACTGATCTCCCCTTCTTTTCACAACTGATATCCCCCTTCTATTCTTTTCTTCTACCTCTTTATTTCCTTCCCTTTATCTCCTCTTTTCCTTTTTTTGTTTCCTTTCCTTCCTTCTCTCTATTTTTTTTTGCTGGGGGGGGGGGGGGGAGGCAACACTCTTTTACCCCCCCCCCCTCATTCTTCCCCCTTTTCTTTTCTGCTTCCTCTTCTTTCCTTCCCTTTCTCTCCTCTTTCCCTTTCCATTCTTTTCCTTCTCTCTCTCTCTCTCTCGCTCTCTCTTTTTTGGCGGGTGCCCCCCCCCCCCCCCCCCCCCTGGATCCGCGCCTGGATGCACCCATGGCCAGACCAGATGGCTGGATCAATTACCATTATCCCCAATTATTTCCTAGCCGTAATTTTAAAGCAAGTTATAGTTGACAAATGCCAGTTTTATTAATAAAATCCCCATACGTTGGTCTGTTCTGACTTTTATTCGTCATTTTGTGTGTGTCGATGCGATATGCATAGGCCTAGACTAGTCAAGTCTAGCTAGTCACTGTGTGTTGTTTTGACTTTCGTCTGTTCGCAGTTCACGAGTTGTTGTTATTTTACTCACACATGATTGCAGGGTATCTTTGTTGGTTTCAGGAACAATTCCAGGCAAATAGAGCACTTGCATGCTTCATTGGGACTTGAAGAAGATGCCATGATTGATACACTGCTATAGTAGACTCATCAGCAAGGACTTCTTCTTATTTACAGCTATTCTCTCGTCTCATTGCCGAAGCCCTTTACCGCAATAGTCCTTTGTTTTGAAATACAAAGATCTAGAGAGTGGGCTATATTTGGCGACCAATAACCGCGACCTAAACGATTCGGGCGAAGTTAGCCCGTTAAACAATAGAAATCCCGCTGTGGTGTCTTCAAAAAGGAAAACGAAAAATGAATGTGTAACATGGGTGATAAATGGAAGATAATAATGATAATAATAACACTCAGTTTAATAAAGCGCTTATTACAATCACTAAGCGCTTCCAAAATTGGAGATTATTACCCTGGCTTTAGCTGTGCTGCCATTATGGCGCTCTAGCATTCCAATGAATTAGATCCAAGCTTTTTTTACTGGAGTCTTGAATTAAAATAAAACGTGGCATAGTCTATATAGCAGAGCAAATACCCGGTACCTTATAAACTGGCACATTTCATGTGTTGCAAACATATAATTTCTGTTTCAAGTTGAGATTATAATATACAAAGTTTTGGTATGGGGTAATGACTTTGGTTCGAATTAACATATTGGAAGCATATGTGGTCCTACAATATTCAGTGATCATTGTCGCGGTTGCCTCGAGTCTAAAGTTATGAAATTGTAAACAATAAACTCTTTATAATGTATAGCTCCCTCTCAAGGTCAAGACATTAATTAAAGCTATAACTAGGCGTTGTGGCGTGCGCCTGTAATCCAGCTAAAAGTGGAAGTTACAAACTGATTCAGCCGAGGACACAGGTTCGAAACTGAGTCACGTCTTTCGGATGGTGACGTTAAAAGTCGGTCCCCAGACGTAAATAATCAGATCTGATTGATACACGTCTGTAAAAACCAATACACACACACACACACATATAACAACTAGGCGTTGTGGCGTGCGCCTGTAATCCAGCTATAAGTGGAAGTATTCAGCCGAGGACGCAGGTTCGAAGCTGAATCACGTCTTTCGGATGGTGACGTTTAAAGGTCGGTCCCAGGACGTAAATAATCATATCTGATTGATACACGTCTGTTAAAACCCAATACACACACACACACTATAAACAATATTTCTTGACTAAAATCGACCGATTAGCTATTCCGTTTGGAAATTGTATATCACAACCATGGGCGTACGCAGGGGGGGGGGGGGGGGGGGGGGGGTTGGGGGTTCAAACCCCCCCCCTTTGGTATTTTTATGTGTGTAAACCCCCCTAAAAAAACTAAAAACCCCCTTTTTTTTTTCTTTTCTTTTTTTTAAATTTAAAAAAAAAAAAAAAAAAAAAAAAAAAAAAAATTATGCCCACGGCTAACGTAAAGTGACTTTACCCCCCCCCCCTAACGAAAAAAAAATGTCAAATTTTCAAATTTCGAGACCAAAAAAAAAAAAAGTGTCCAAGAAGAGCAGTCCAAAATGTATTATTAAACGAGTCTCCTCATTTAACTACCTCGGCAGCATGATCTCCGAGGATGCCAGATGTTAGACAGAGATCAAGAGAAGGATATAATAGCTCTCGCTGCTATAATCTGCATTTTTAAAGTTAGGCAAAATGTTGACAAATCGAACAATGAGTATGAGGACTAGAATAAGAGTACTGATTTGTTATCTACCCAGTACTTATGTATGCTCAAATTAACTTTTTGTCCACGGGGGCTCTTCCCCCAAAAAGAGCCCCCGTGAGCCTTCACACGGGGGCTCTTTTAGTGCTGACGGGGGCTCTTATTTTAATACAAATTTCCATTGAATTGGTACCCATGAAGCTCGATTCCTTGTTTTTTATCATTATCATTTATCGTCCACGAGCCGCGTAGCGGCGAGGCGATTTTTGTTGTTGCTATTTTGAACCCCCGTAAGTGATGCTTTCCTGGCATCTACTGACATCTATACTGTGTATAGGTCTGGACACATGATTGCATTTTTCTATGCACATCCCATTTTCACTTGGCAGCCCAAGGGGGAGGGGGGGGGGTAGGCTGAGGGTTAACCCCCACCCCCGCCTAGATCCGCCCCTGCAACATCTTTGGTCTTGTTCTTCTTCTCGATATTGATTTACTGGTCGAGGTACATAATTTGCTGGTCTTTTAGAATCACCAGATTTCAGAGGATTTAGTTAAAATGTTATACGATAGTTTTAAAAGCCGCATTTTGTCCAATAATATACTTGAAATGCCCGGATAAACCCTGTAAACCAGTATATTATGCCGGTTTAAATCTAAAACAGTAAGACTCAGACAATATTATGAGAGTAAAGAATAGGATCTCACCTTTCAAATGGTGTCAGTTATTATCTTTGTTAGTTAAAATGTCATACGATAGTTTTAAAAGCCTACAAAGTATAAAGCGCATTTTGTCCAATTATTATATACTCGAAATGCCCGGATAAACCCTGTAAACCCGTATACGCCGGTTTGAGCCCTAGGTTAAATCTAAAACAGTAAGACTCAGACAAATTGCTTTGGCATGTGACAAATTATCAGAGTAAAGAGTAAGATCTCGCCTTTCAAATGGTGTGAGTCATTGTTTTGTTTCCTTTTTGATTGTACGATTTAGAGACACTATAGGCCCCATTATTGGTGGCTAGCCTCCTTCTTATTGGTCGGAGGCTTAATGGTCGCCAGTTCAACGAACGGCGCAAGAGCTAGCTTCCCACACGTAGTCTCGGCGGAACACAACGCTGCCACCCGTCATCAGAGACTGAAACTTTCGGTCTAGATCTACGACATTTAATGCAACTTTGTGTGACAACTGACACTGTGTGGGTTAAGGTGAGTGAACCCAACTTTTAATGTCCAAAATGCAAACCTAACTGTTAGTGTTACATCCTATCACATGGAATTTGTCGTTAGTGTTGGGCTTGCTACCTAATTAATTAACCATTCTAGCTCAGTGCTGTTTTGTGTATAAAGAGGCCCTAGACGTAGACTAGAGCCGATCCGACGACCGACCAGGGAGGTGTTAACTCACATACCCTGGACTAGACAGCAATAACCATCTGATTTGGGTCATTTCTTTAATAAAACTGACATTTGTTGTCATTCTGTAATCGGAGGTCTAGTGGAGCCAGACGTAGTCTCAGTGGAACAACCGACGGTATAGTACTATTATAGTAGAGACTGAAGCTTTCGGTCTAACCCTGGACTAGACCGAATTTTCCGTCTCTTTCGTTCGTTAGCCTCTTATTGGGGTAGGGTCGGCTCTCTCTTTAGAGACGGAAGCCGTTTATACACATGTCCTTGCTAACGCCACGGCCAGTCCTGGTCGTAGCGTTTTGCCCCCAAAATCTTGACTGAAATAATCAGTTTAATAGTCCCTTTTTAGGAAATTATGGGTCAAAATCGAAATCCATTTTGAAAATCTTTTTCAACATGGATTCCGATTTTGACCCATAATTTCCTAAAAAGGGACTATTAAACTGATTATTTCAGTCAAGTTGGTAAGTGGAACTGATTTATTATAGCCTAGGCCTAATTTACAATATAACATGCTCGAGGTAAAATGACATTTTGGGGGATTTTGGGGGCAAAACGCTACGACCAGGACTGGCCGTGGCGTTAGCAAGGACATGTGTATAAACGGCTTCCGTCTCTAAAGAGAGAGCCGACCCTACCCCAATAAGAGGCTAACGAACGAAAGAGACGGAAAATTCGGTCTAACCCTGGACTAGCCTTAAGGGGCTCCCTCGAAATGTCTTTTATGATATCATAACAAATATTTCGAGGGAGCCCTTAAGGCTACCCTGGACCGACCCTACGGCATACCCAATTAATTCAATGAGGAGTGTTGACAGAAAGGATTGACCACAAATGGCACAATGCCTATGCCTATGTCATGTGTAAATTACTGGTGTGAGTGTGAGTCTACCCGGTTCAAGTCCAAGTGGTCGCGATTATACGACCTTTCTTGAATTAAAAGCAGAAGACAACGTAGCCTTTCGTCATTTTCACGTAGCCGTAGGGCGTAGGTTTTTCACACTAGACTAAATTGGACCCAACCATTCGTCAGATTATGGGTTTATTTCACGAATATATAAATAATTTACCTCCAAAAATGTTGTGACTGTTGGTGATATGCTGTGCGTCAGGTGCTGAGGCAAAGTAAATTTAAAAAAAGCATTTTTACATAATTTTAATTTGTATGTAGACCCTCAACACAATGGAGTCCCTGCCTTCCCGGCCAATCCAATGCAAAGGGGGGGGGGGGGGGGGGGGGGGTACTCACATATTAGGACTACCTGGGTGTGCCACTCTAATGGGTCACTTTTTCACAAAAAATCCCTAAACATGCATGGGTCCCACTTTTAATAAAAATCGCATTAAAAATGGGTCTGTTTTTTCAAAATTTGCAAATTTTTTGGGTGTTTGCATGGCTATATAAAGCCAGAAAAAACACCCAAAGAACAACAGAAAATTGTGCAAAATTGGTCTTTTTTCTAGAAAAATGACCCCTAATAATGAGTACCGGTAGGGGTTTCGAGGCTTGAGCGGCACACTCACGTCCAAACCTAATCTAAGTGTATTGTGTACATTATATGGGTTATTTAATGATTTTTGTTTTAATAGTTTTACTGTAAATTTTTATGTTTATGATTTTCCAATAGTTTTACATGGTAGAAAATTATTCTGTGCAAAGATCTATTTACCAGTATAGATTCATTCATAATTATTTATACCGTAGATCATCATTGTGAGTGGTGCCTACATATTTATTTAAAGACCATCAATACTAATGGGCCAGAAGGGATTAGACCACACAGTGGTCTCATTAACTCAACTCTCAACTAACATAAGAAAAAGAGGATCATGGGGGACCAACAGGCACCGATAGGGGAATTTTTCTATATATAGAGGGAGCAAGTAGCTACAAGTAGGACAGTGGGGCTTTAAAATGCCTTGGAAAAACCAGACTACACAGTGATGTGAGTGATATTAATAAAAATTGAAGATTCCTACTTTTATTTCTGTCTATAGGTGACCAAACCAGATGAAGTCATCAATGACAGCAAGCACTGCAAGCACTGCAAGCTTCAATTGAATGCTCAAGGATATATCATAAGAAAGATACAAATGGCAGAGTGCAATCAGACATGTCTGAATCAAGTTATTGTACCAGGAGAAAGAGAAGAAAATTGAACTGTGGGCAGCCTTATGTCATCAGTCGTTCCAGACGCAGAAAAGCAAGAACTGAGCAAGCTAATTTAAAACGGGAGGAGCAGTGTAGAATATCTTGCAATATATCAAACAACAAATTGGAAACAGCCTTCTCTAGATTGCCTTTGGAATGCAAAGTAAGAATATTTTCCTTTTTAAGTGATACTGAAAAATGTGAGATAGCCACAGTATGTTCGGATTGGGCTAGGGTAATAAGAACACCACGTCTGTGGCAAGTTGCTGATTTTACCTATGCTTTGGCACGAAGTGATCTACCCAAGGACAAATGTGAAGCTATCAGATGTATAAAGGAGAGGGCTACCAGCTATATATACCACTTTGTTTCAAGGGGAGCCCTGCTTCGTTGCCTTTTCTTTGAGCTGGATATCATCGAAGGCGAGGAAATATGGCTCAAATTTTTGATCTACCTCCTCAAAATGACCAACTCGCATGAGCTCAAGGTTGTTCATGCAGAATGGACAACCTCTCCAGAATTCATGCCATTTCAAGCAGAGGAGATGACCTGGAAGTCGGACAGGGTCAAGTCATTTCTGTGCCTGCTGACCACTCTGAGCGAGATGTGCCCTGCCATTGAAGAAATCCACACTCCTTTTGACTGGTCATTTTCTTCTGTCAAAGCACTCTCAACATTCAAACAGTTACACACACTGGAGCTTGATAAGTACTGGGTATTTGCTGTGCTACGGGAAGAGAACTTGAATTATTTGCTGGAGAGCTTGCCACGCCTGAAGAGGTTTAAGCTCAGTGTGAGTGTGCCTTTAATCGGAATGTTGTCCTTCCCACAGTACATCATGAGTTCAGAATCTCTGGAGGTGCTGGACATCTCCAACAGTACATGTTTCTTCCTCAGGAGTGTGCATCTACCAGCGCTAACTTCGATTGCCACGGCAAGGTATGCTTCGCCTCTATTGATACTTAAGTTATAGTGCCATTCTGACTCTCAACAGGTATTGTTTTAATACCATAGCAAGTACATTACAAAGAAAGACAACAAAGTTTTTAAGATCAATGATTTCTTGATTAATAAGGTCTTGATCTTTTTTGCAATCAGGTGTAGTTTTCAGAAGAGAGTTTAATTGTTGTACGTAAAACACAAAGTCTTGAAGAAAAATGTTGGTCTCGATTTTAATTGGCCCCACCCCAAAATGAGTGAGTGGTAACTTTACTGGTAAGGTATTAAAAGGTATGTATGATCTTGTCAATCAAAGTCCAGAATATACATCTATGCATGCACAATCCCATCGTTTTGAAAAACAGATTTATAGATAGATGTACATGTAGTGTTATTTATGTTCATTTTTATCAATTTCATTCCAGAAACTGTTTCTTATCCCTTTACAAGAGGACAAAGGATGCTCATTATTGGGAATATCCAAATACATGTAATATTTAAAACTAGCAGCTTAGAACTGTTTAAAGAATCATTTAGACATAATCATAAATAATTGAAATGTTTGAGGGTTGGTTGCTTTGTTTGTTTTACCTGACTGCTGAAAAAGCGTGTGTTTGCTTGTAAGCAACCAGGGGATAGAGGGTCTTGATAATGAGGATTAGCGCCTTACCAAAGGGCACTAGGGCATCAAATAAGTTTTGAATCTGGGACCTCCAGGCAATGAGACCACTGCTTTACCACTGAGCCATTGTGCATTACTATTAACATATTCAAAAGGGTTGGATCATACACTTATAAACATCATCATCATGAAGTAATCATCATATACAGTGTATGCATTTATAAGTTTACAGCTTTTTCTTCTTTCGCTTACAGGAACCGTTGGACTGGTCCACTGTTGTCTAGAGATGCCTTGAGTGTGCCTTGCCTCTACAACATTTAAAGACTGGTGCCCCAAGCCTAGCAATCTACAACCAATGCATTGTGAGAGAGGACTGGAGGTCAAGGGTCACACCAGTGTTTGAAGATGCCTTGAAATCAAGCTGCTACTGCTCAAGACATAAGCGAGGAAACCTCTTGTATTAGACTATTACACGACTCTTTTAATTCCAATTTAAATACAACTCAAGATTTTTATCTCAAAGTGTAACAATTGAGGGAAAAGTATTCCAAATATCATTACAGAATTATTTTAATATGATGAAACACAATTTGAAACATGAGATGAATAAATGAACACTCACAGTACTGTGTATAATAACTGGGATGGTTTTCTGGGGATTTCCTGGAGATGAAATATTCTTAAAATTTTAAAATACATGTGTCAGCATTCTGAGAATCATTTTATTTTTTTAGCAAGATTTTATCTCATTCAATATATGCCCATTTGTTATGCAAATATGCAATAACCATTTTTTTTATTTTTATAGATTTCACTCTCATCATGTTCAGCCAATAAGATCACTCTCTGTCAGACTCTTTGACAAGAGAGCTTGAATGCGTTATTTTTACAATTTTCCCTGCACATGCCACTTAAAAGCGCAAAAACATGCTTTTGCTAGGATTTCCTTGAAAGGTGACTGAAGTGTCCATTTGCCAGGTACATTAAGGTGGTAAGTCCCCAAACTTTAGTAGGCATGAAAACTTAAAACACATTTAACATTCCAGTAATTCCCATTTCAAAAAGTGATTGGATTTTACCAGAACTAAATGTCATGACTGTGTCTTGCTGTGGCAATGGAAACATTCATGAAATGTAGTCCTAGTTAAAGATCAAACCACTTCCAGAAAAGAAAATCTCTTGGGAAATTTGTAACTTTTTATGCACAAAAAAGTTGTATCCCACTCTAGTCGATTCAATATTATATTTTAAAGATGGTAGCTAGCAAATTTGCTTTGAAACACATTTTAATCTAGGATATGTGTGATTTTAGAATTTTAAGACTCGATACATAAATGCTTGATTTCTTAAGAGTCGTGTGACCTTTTCTTAAAATTTACTTTTATTTCTAGGTATATGCTCTTAAAAGTCCCTTTTTTTTTTTACATGTAACTATTTGTATATGATTCTGCTACAGCCAGGATCTGGACTAAGCATTCCAAAGGTGCAATATATCATTGACTAGACATGTCTTATAAATTTATCTTTTTTCCACTTTTGTATTTTTCAGACTAGTGCAAGTAACATTTTCACTTGGTTTGAGAGAGAGAACGAGACAGACAAATAAAGGAGAGAGAGAAAGAACGAGACAGACGAATAAAGGAGAGAGGGAGAGAGAGAACGAGACATACGAATAAAGGAGAGAGGGAGAGAGAGAACGAGACATACGAATAAAGGAGAGAGAGAGAGAACGAGACAGACAAATAAAAAGGAGAGGGAGAAAGAATGAGACAGATGAATAAAGGAAAGAGAGAGAGAGAGAACGAGACAGACGAATGAAGGAGAGAGAGAACGAGATGGACGAATTAAGGAAAAAGAGAGAAAACAAGACGGACGAATAAAGGAGAGAGAGAGAACGAGACGGACGAATAAAGGAGAAAGAGCAATAAAAGGATTTGTGCGACATGAGACAAGAGGAAGATGATGTATACTAGAGAAGCTCAACAAAAAGATATTTATGATGGGAGTGGAATGGACAAGAAAGAGCAGGAGAAAGATTCCATGTTAGGGGAGAGAGAAAGAGAAAATACAACAGAAAAATAGACAAACCTGAAAGTGTGAAGGGTTTGTATGATGGGAAAGAAAGAGATAGGTGGACAAAGAAAGAATAAAGGGGAAAATTAAAAAGGATGATCAAGTGAAACCATCTGATCAGTAATAGAGAGAGTGGGGAAAAGGGATAAAAAGAAAGATTTGCATAATGGGGGAAGGTGAAGATGGTGAAGAAAAGGAGTAACGAAGGTTTTGATAATGGGGAGAGAGATAGAGAGGAAGGACATTAGGATGGAGCGGGAAATAGGTAAAAGTAAACGAACCAGAGAGACCCGGGTGACTGCAGATTGTGTATGAATGGCAGAAGAGTGCCAATTATGGATAATGCAAACACAATTCCAATGTTCCGATCCTTCTTTGACTTTGTCTACAAAAGATTTTAATCTTTCAACAGTGATGTCAATTCTTCATAAATCAAAACTAAACAGAAGTTTGACAACGGTTTGTGGCACGCCCTTCTGCAGAGCGGGGGGGGGGGGGGGGGGGGGGGGGGGGGTAAGAGCACTTTTTTTCTTTTTTCTACAATTAACAAATTTGAGGGGGGAACCCAACCCCCTGTGTACGCGCCTGGCAGGGTGTATTTAGAAAACATACTCATCCGACCCTTCGGGAGTGAGGCTTGACTATTCATGTAATTAATACAGTTAACCCAAAGAAAGCTAATCAAGCTATCTCACAATTGGGCTCAAATGGTGAATACAATATCTGTACATTAAAGAGTACAGCAACTAGAGTTGCAAAGCTTTAACTTTAATTTCAAGGGCGTTTCATTGAGCTTGAATTCTCGATGGTGGGTATAATCTGTACATCTGCACATGTACAAGTTCATGTACAAGTTCATGTACAAGTTTGCCTTTTCATGAAACAAATGTCATACATGCTAAACTAATGTCCACTATATAGTTAAAAATAAGGGTATAACGATATAATTATTCAATGAACTACAACAATTGAACAAACACTTATAATAGTCACTTGTTTGGTTTTATTTACAAAGTCTTTTATAAAACAAACATAATATTTACATATATAAACATTTCAAATCTTCTGCCAAGGATTACTTTAATTAAAATAGTATACATGTAGTGAAATGAGTAATAATAGATAAAAAAAAAAGTATACCGTACTGATAAACATCCCTCGAGTCCTAACAACCTATATTTCATTCAAAATTCATAGAAACTAAAAAATACCTGGTAAACAAAACGCAGTACATATAAATGTATGTATTTAAAGCAGGACTGCACTACCTGTGACTACTTGCATCCTCTATACAGCCAACAATGCCTAAGCGGTACCCGTTGATCCCCCATGGTCCCCTTTTTCTTATGTTAATTGAGAGCTGATTTGATGAGATAGCCACCTGTCAGTGACCATGCAGGGAGGTCTAATCCCTCCGGGCCAAACATGTGCAGATGGGCTTTAACGAGAAGGGTCTATCTTTATTTGTGGATTGTTCAGAAATTGCACTCATGATATGGTTTGAACTAACAAAACAACATGTAACCTTTCACTGTGTTCAGATATTCCCATTCTTTTGGCATTAGAATTAATTTTTCAGAGAAGAATAATTTCAACTTTTTTGTCTTTTTTTAGAAGACAATAAAGCTAGACATGGTATGGCTCACCAATAGTGTCATTAAAGACCACATCCAAACTGAAAAATATCACAAAAATATCCATGGGAAGCTTATAAGCCATAGATTACAATAATATCAATTATATGCTATTTTAGTGTCTGTCAAAGGAGTATCAGCTCTCTGAAAACTTGAAATCTAAAACTTTGAAAAATCAGAAGTTGTCAACCTAAAAACTTGCTTTCGACTTGATGACATCATCTTATGTGGAGTACGGTACACAAATTCAATATGACTTTGCATTAATTAAACAATGCTCATCATCTTAGCTATACAGTGCGTCTCAGAAAAAAAGAAACCGAAAATTATCAATGTTTGATCATAACTTGATCCCAACAGGCCTTATGTAATGCTCTGCATTTTTCCACCAATCACTCTAGACAGAAAAGTCATTATCTCACATTTCACTCGCCCGAAGACTCTCCAAGAGACCAAGTATTTCTTGATGGGACCACAGGTTTGTTGTGTGTGAGATATTTACACCCATTAATGGCATTTCCACCAAGTCTGGCAGTGTCCACAAAATACATATATGACCTACTGCATATGAAAATCGACTACCATCTCCCTTGACTAGTCAATAATGACAATTTCTGTTACATGTACTGGGGGGTGTTTCACAAAGATCCTAAGTTGAACTTATCTATCAGTTGGACTTAACATTTATGGAAAGCCGTTAGCATCTATGCAAATATTTTGTAAAAGTTATTTTAAAAGGCATAAAATGTTTATTCAAATCATTTATATTTTTATTTATCAAGGAGATTTCATGTTCTTGATGTGGAATTTATAAAAAGTCTAAAATACTTAATTTTTCGTTTTTTAATATATTTTATTTTAAGGCTTCAAATGGCTCTCCATAATTTTTAAGTCCAACTTAGAGTTAAGTTCGACTTAGGATCTTTGTGAAACACCTCCCTGGTAGGCTAAAAATCAGGGTTTAATACCTCATGGATCAAAAGGAAGCTGAAGATTCTCTTGAAGGTTTGCAGAGGAGTGTTAAAATGATTCCTCTAAGTCGTTGGAGGTGGGAACTATATACTCACAAAATAAACAAAATAATATGACAAAATGGTCTCTGATTCTATGTACAGGAGTACAGGTTTAAAAATGCTAAACACTATTCAAGAGTACTTAACATTACAGGCTTTGTAAACGGGTGATTGCTAAAGCAAGTTTCACTGTTATCTATTGTAATGTCATTAATCTACTCATATCTATGGTGTGTCTTTAAAAATCTAGGACAAACAATATGAGAGTAAAACCGCTCCACGTCTAGAGGCCCTGGCTAGTACTCGCGACCCTGTTCAGTCTCTGGAAGACTTATCGTACATGTAGGTGCGGAAGTGGGTCTCAAAGCAAGTTTCACTGTTATCTATTGTAATGTCATTAATCTGCTCATATCTATATGGTGTGTCTTTAAAAATCTAGGACAAACAATATGAGAGTAAAACCGCTCCACGTCTAGAGGCCCTGGCTAGTACTCACGACCCTGTTCGGTCTCTGGAAGACTTATCGTAGGTGTGGAAGTGGATCTTAAAGCAAGTTTCACTGTTATCTATTGTAATGTCATTCATCTGCTCATATCTATATGGTGTGTCTTTAAAAATCTAGGACAAACAATATGAGAGTAAAACTGCTCCACGTACGTCTAGAGTCGCTAGTACTCACGACCCTGTCCGGTCTCTGGAAGACTTATCGTAGATGCGGAAGTGGTTCTTGCCCGTGGAAAGGACCTGTTCAAAGAGGTATGGTAGGGCGGTAGAACTGATCCCTGATGGATGGAGCTGTCTGAGGCCTTCCAGGACATTGGGTCCTTCAAACTTGACGACGCAGCGGAACGGCTCCTGACGGGTTGCCATCCTCGGAGCAGCACGAGTACCTCTGAATTTGTTCTCCATCTACGAGAAAAAGGAAACAATCGATGCAACCATCTTGCTAGTAACTACAAAAAGAACACACTACTATTGATTTCTCGAATAGTGCGAAGGTGTGCAGATTCTAATCATTCTGGATAAGCCGAAATGCCATATAGTGCTCAAGCATACAGGGATTAAGTATTAATCCTGATGAGACTACCCTGAGTAAACAAGACATATTATTACCATTATTTTTATTATTATCATTATTATTATCATTATTATTATCATTATCATTATCATCATCATCATCATTATTATTACTACCATTTTCACTATTATAATTATCATCTTTATTCATATATTCAAAGATTAATAAAGAAACGAATGAAGAAATTCTCCTGATAATTATGTCGGCAAAGCTCTTTTTAACCTATAATCAATATAGTACACTATGGTACCTACCTCATAGACAATCCTTTCCAATTTGGGCTGCTTGTTTGTTCCAAACGAGCTGTCCAGGTCTTTCTGGCACTTTTCTTCATCCTCCACATTCTCTGAGATGAGGGATTTGTCTTCCAAATCAAGAGAATCTCCTGAAAGTATAAAGATAAGATAATTGCTTTACTAGTGGAGGTGTCGTGGCTTGCTGCAACAGTAGTAAAGCGAGTAGATCACTGATTTTAACCACTCAACGGCCCATTACCTTTTTTCAAGCCTTTACTTGCTACATATCGTCTTGTAATATAAAATCTGCTTTGCGGAAGTACATTGCTGAAGTAAATTCTTGGAAAGGGATGGTCATTGTTTAAATACTCCGATGTTCTGACATACTGTATACCTATCTGAATTTTGCACTTGAACCAATGCACAAAAGACTTGCCTGGGGAGTGTTTCACAAAGTATAAGATCGACTTTAAGTTGGACTTAACTATGGCAGGCCATTCATGACACTGGTTGCTCTCACCATTATGATCTTTAGATAATATTTTTCCTTCAATAATGAACTATCAAAAAATGTAAATTCTGTAGATTTGTGACCACAATTTGCACATCCCTTGAGAGACCAATGCAAGTAAATGGTGAGAGAAAACAGTGGCATGAACGGCCTGCCATAGTTTAGTCCAACTTAAACCCGATCTTAGTCTTTGTCAAACACTCCGATGGGACGTATACTATTCACATGTAAAAACTACAAGGGTTGTCTGGATGCAACACGCAATCTCTAAATGAAGCAGCGAGATTGTGGTGGAACCATTGGGTTGAAAGGGTCCTAGCGTAGGGTAGTCTATAGCCATGATGATCTACATTCCTTTTCAATATTTACACAAAAATTCACCAAAAATTATGGATGAAATATCAAAGCATCTTGCAACTTGAAAACAAACAAGAGAAAAGAGAAAAGATTTTTAAATTTACCATGAGTCAATAGGAAATGTGAACATGAATCAAATTTGAACAGAATTACCAGTCTTACCTCTTCTCTTCCTTGTCTGTGTCTTGACCAAAGGGTTGGTATCGACTTGGTTGTGTCTAAACTTTGAGAACCATCCCTGAGAGGCAGGGTTGAGAGTGAGGTCAGCCAGGGAATCTAGATGGTATCCGGTCAGCTTGGTTTCTTTACAACTGGTGCAGCCAAGTGATAAAATCAAAGCCTGCAAGATCAGGGAGACGATCGTGTAACATAAGCTGCCTAAATTTATATGTTATTTTGATATTGTTACATGTTATGAAATTGCATATTTTATCTTTGTACATATTGTCATGATGATGGAAATAAATTTCAATTTCAATTTCAATTTCAATTAAATCTTCGAGGATGTTAGAATGAATACAGTATGATTAGGAGAAATCTTGGATGAAAATAATTTTCATTGATTTTTCTGAACTACTTGACCAATTGAAGCTTTAAGGAAATGGCAGTCAAATACATTTTGTCTCCAAAGACTCTCTTACAATTTTCTGGTCCATCTATTAGAACACCATTACATCTACAGCTAGATATAAAGTCGACCATCGTTAATTATTAGCTTGTTTAATATTGTCTGAAGAAGCCTGCTAATGCAACTTTTTCACAAGGTAAATAAGATATAAGCTTGTGCAAGCAGAAAGTTATTTCCAATAAACTATTTATTTATAAATTTGCAATAAATTGCTAATATTCCCCAAATCAAAGCAGCGTCTATATGTAATTGTGATCTGCATTTGATACTCCATATAATGATAACTACACTTCCAAGTCTTATTTAGGAGAGTGAAGCTCTAGTGCGTGTACCAGTTCAAATCCCAGCTAAGATACAAATGTCCCGTTATTAATCTTACTCTGCCATTCTGCACTGAGGTGTACCTGGTAGGAAGAAATTGATTCAACCAATGCTTGAATGCTTAGCAGCTAAGGTGTAATATAAGCCATGAAAATAGTTTGAAGGCCTTTGGAGCATCCCTCTGAATGGATACATGCCCATCAGCAAATGGTGTTTTAAAGACATATTATTGTTACCGGTACTTGTACATTGGCTTTAGCACAGCTGCCATTAGGCCAAAAAAAACAGATGTTGTATTGCCATTTAGGTGCCAAAACATGGTTTGGTCTGTCGGAAATCTTTTTTGTTTGTTTTACTTTTCTTTTTCTTTTTTAATTTTCTCTGTGGGCTGATATTTCTCAGCTTCTAATGCTATAGTACGGTAATACTTTTTTGCTTCTAAAAAACAGTAAAAAAAGATAATAATAAATCAAAAAAGCTGACCCTACATTTCAAGATTTTTGGGTGGGTCGCAAAGGGCAATACAACATCTCTTTTTTAAAGGCCCTATAGGGCTCTCAATCATGCAATGATTTTCTATAAATATATCAATATTTACCCATTCATTACACCTTGATAAGTACATACAACTACATTAAATGCCTGTTCTACAGATGTAAACACCAGGGGCCTGTTTCATAAAACTTGTTATCTATAACAAATTCTAAATTTTCAATGACAAATTTGTTCTCAGCCAATCAGATGCCATGATTCAGTAGCTTATAACAGTAGCTTGCAACTTGTTATTGATATCAAGTTTTATAAAACAGGGCCCAGGACACAATTCCCAAGTCCATGGTGGCATCCTTATATCACCTGCAGAGGCCAGCAATTATTTGACAAAAAATTCTGCAACCTTTCAGCCAAAGTTACCTGCATCACAAACTGCATGAGTCCCTTCTTCCTGACGGACACAATAAGATGACGGGAGTGAGGATAGTAGACCACATAAATGGTGTTGCTGCTGAAAAAGTATGCACTATCTTTTCCGCTATCGTAGATTCCGATGCGAAGCCAAATGGCCTCCCCACGCTTGTCCATGCATAGATCCTGGTGTGAGATAGTAGATTTAAGCATACATGAATTAGTTTATTTCTTTAAAAATAAAGATACCTTAATTTGCAATCACCAAAACGGCGTTCGTTGGTGATCGGAAAACTAGGATCTAAGTTCAGCCAGTACAAGTGAGGGAGTTTCTGAACTTGTAGACACTAAAACTGTCACACATGTAATTAAATTTGGATGTGTCACAGAACGCTTATTGAGAAACCTTAAAGATTTATAAGATCCTTGTTGGGGGGGGGGGGGGGGGTCAATTTTACAGGAGGTAATTATCCAGCTGCTAATTGGCCAGGGGAGATTTTCCAGGGTAAAGTGTCCTAGAATGCGATATCATTGGTTCACACATGAAAACAGATTGAATCTCACATACAGAGAGAGAGGGAGGGAGAAAGAGAGAGAGAGAGAGGGAGGGAGAAAGAGAGAGAGAAAAAGTTAGAGAAAGAGAGAGAGACAGAGATTGTGTATAAAAAAAAGATGATTAATGTCACATTTTACAATACTCTTATGCTCTCCTGATTTGTGACAAACTGTTTTCACATTTTCATTTTCTGAATTTCAAAAACAACCTCTAAAGCAGGCCTTCTCAACTGGCGGCGCGCGCGCCACTCGTGGCGCTTGCGGTTAGTCAGAGTGGCGCGCGGCTGTTCCAAAAAAATAATAAAAAATAAATAAAAATTTAAAAATAAAATTTAAGAAAGAAAAAAAATCAAAAAATTATATTTTAAAATAAAAAAACTCAGCAAAATCAAAAAGTCGCAGTCGAAGTTGAGCCCAAAATGTAAGCAAGCCATTTTGTTTGTTTGATTTTCACTTCATTTTGACATTTTCCGTGTTTATTGCACCAAAATAACTACATGTAAATTAACTTCCAGTGTAGATTTTAGCCAGGAATTGTACTAATTATTTCACATCAATATGAAATTATGATTGATGTTTTATGGAACAAAAAGGTGTTAAAATGCCACATCTGGGCCTTAAAAAAGCCCTAAAATCCACTAGGTTCCGGGGGCGTCGCCCCTGGACCCCACCCGGTATCGGCTCGGTCGCTACGCTCCCTCGCAACACAGTCACCAAACATACAGGGTTGGCACTTCAACCTCAATAAATGTTTATTTTGGCGCTTCTAATAAACTAGTTGAGAAGGCCTGCTCTAAAGCCTCTCTCAAGTGTTGGGAGCCCCAACAAATTCGACAAAAATTTGATTGCAAAATTTAACTTAAATTGTATCATAATGTGAAAAAGGATGACATTTAAGACACACTTCTGCAAAGATCTCCCTCCAAAAAATATGTTTGAAGACAAATATTGATAAAAGAATACATAATTTGGGTTTCTTGTTATACACAGAAAACCTAAATGTTATATTCTTTCATCAATATTTGACTTCAAACACATTTGTTTTGGAAATCCTTGAAGAAATATGTCTTTAAATGACATCCCCTTTCACATTATGATACAATTTCAGTGAAATTTTCCCATCAAATGTTTGGGGCTCACAAAACTTTAGAGGGGCTTTCACAGTTTTTCTTCATCGTTTACTTACATGCTTAAAGTAGACAGAAATGTGCTTTGTAAATTTGTCAAAATACACTTGAGGGTCAAAAGCCTTCTTGCTATGATCTGCAAAATAACAGGAATGGATGAAAGTCAACAAGGAAACAAAATGCAAAAAACTAACTATAAACAATGCAGAATGTACAGCATAAATAAAACGACGCAAACATCTTTGTTAATTTGTTTGAGAATTTGAGATATTAATCAAACATCCTCAATACATGCAGGTAGGGTTTACTTCTAACGGCAATAGCATACATGCCAACATTTGAAAATCAGAAATCTGTACAAATTATGCTATTTAAAAAAAAAGAGGAACAATCCTAACTCTCCTATTCAATATACTACAGACAAATTTGTACAGGAAGAGGAACACCTGCATTAAAATGATAATTATCTTCTCCCAAAAAGAGAAATGTTCCTCTTTAATCTGAACAGTTGGCATGTATGCAATAGCATTGTATAATGTATACCAGTAGTTACAAATCAAATCAATCATCACTTACATTAATTCATATTCAATTGGCAAGTAACAGCATTAATAATGATAATTAATAGTAATAGTAGGAGTAGTAGTAGTAGTATTAATAATAATAATAAAAACAACAATAACACTACTACTACTACTACTACTACTACCACTACCACTACTACTACTACTACTACTACTACTACTACATCTACTACTTCTTCTACTACAACTATTACTACTACTACTACTACTACTACTACTACTACTACTACATCTACTACTACATCTACTACCACTACTACTACTACTACTACTACTACCACTACTACTACTACTACTACTACTACTACTACTACTACTACTACTACATCTACTACTTCTTCTACTACAACTATTACTACTACTACTACTACTACTACTACTACTAGTAGTAGTACATCTACTACTTCTTCTACTACAACTATTACTACTACTACTACTAATGATAATAATAGACATTTATGCTTCTGGGGTTGAAAATTATGATGAGGTCGAGAGCCATTATTTATCTCCTTTACTGCAAACATGCAAAGAATGCCCCTCAACTTGTACAACTCTGTGAACTAATCTTCACTTAACATCATAATAATCATAACTGTATGGTCATTATTACTCTGGACAGCCTCATTATTATTGATACTGTTCTTCCCAAGCGCCCTGCACCCGTTACAAAGCATCATCATAGAAAATTGTCGTTATTTATGCCTGACTGCCTGTTTGTTATTCTTTTTTTCTGATACTGTGGCGGGATGTGACCAATGGGAGAAAATTGGTTGTAGGTACTTACCTTCACTAAGTCCCTTGAGTTCATACACACACCATTTCTTCTTCTCTGGATGCCTGATGCTACCTGCATGGAGTTAGACAAAAACATTGACAGTGTAAACTTTCTTCTGAATGGTTAGAAAGTAGACATCAGGTTAATCAGCATGCTAAAATAATCTTGTTTCCCAGACAACCTTTCATTACTTACAAGGTATATATATGTTATGTATGACGTCTGAAATTAAGACTATTCATGTCTTGACTTGTCATTTTATGTATACGCATTGCCCAATGTACCGCGCGCAGTTTCCATCGATGCCTTCATCGAATAAAGTCCATGCTACCACCATGTAGTTTTAAAGTTACGAATACGTCTTTATTTGTCATCTTTATTTGGCTGAACATCAACCTTGAACATTGACAGAACATAATATTGGCGACGAGGTCGAGATGATTAGTTTGGTTTTGCCGCAGTTTGCTGAAATAAAGTAGACTTGAAAAAGTTTCTCCAGCAGAGATCCGACATGGTTTGGAATTATGCCTGTACACGTGCAGTTTTTTATGAACGCTTTGCCGTACAGCACGTACAGCTATGGAGAATAGTGCATCAGCATGTATTCAGCAAATGAACCGAACTAATGGAGCTGAGTTTGCCTAATTTGGATGAAAAACTCTTTAGCCAGGAGATCCAGCAGTTGATCGTAGGTGAGCGAGTATTTGTTTTTGCTGATGTTGCCTCATCAGTTTAACTTTATTAGCCGCAGTTGGATGAATAGTGAATGGATGCCCCCAACCTAACTTTCAACTTAACGATCAACCAGTGGCAGTGCTGCAGTAGTACTACAGTAGGCCATGCAACTCAGTGGCAGTAGCCAAGCCCATGAAAGCTCCAACCAAGTTCAAGGCCCAGCCCATGGTCAGCCAGCCAGCCCGCCAGCCAGCCAGCCCAGCCCGCCAGCCAGCCCAGCCAGCCCAGCCCGCCAGCCAGCCCAGCCAGCCCAGCCCAGCCCAGCCCAGCCCAGCCAGCCCCGCCCAGCCAGCCAGCCAAGCCAGCCAGCCAGCCCAGCCCAGCCAGCCCAGCCCTGCCCAGCCAGCCAGCAAGCCAATTCAGCCCAGCCCATGGCCAGCCAGCCAGCCCGCCAGCCAGCCAGCCCAGCCCGCCAGCCAGCCCAGCCCAGCCAGCCCAGCCCAGCCCGCCAGCCAGCCCAGCCCAGCCAGCCCAGCCCAGCCAGCCCCGCCCAGCCAGCCCCGCCCGGCATACATTGTTTCAGAATCCAGGTTCCTGTGTCTAGATCTACTGCAGCGTAGACTAGAGGAGGAAGTGTTTTGTTTTAGCCTTAAAATTGAAATACAGGAAGTTGTTACTTCGTGATTGCCTTCAATTTAGGACCAGGATCCAGTTCAGTGACAGTGTCAGTTGACTCAGTTCATAGTTTCGGACTAGTAGCAACCCACCCAAGTGAAAGCCAGACCACTCATCATGAAGTGATGGTGATGTTGATGCAAGCAAATAAACATTTAGAACTCATTTGATAATATTGTCGATTGTTATGATGAATCTGTTTTGTAACTGAGTGTAAGGACCAGTCCCAGACCAGGACTAGTACCATTACAAGTTGAAGTTTAATTCAAGTGTGAAGATGTGGATCTAAGTAGGTCTACAAGTTTAGAGTTAGACATTAGTCTCGGGTTTTTACAGTGTAAATAACAGTAGAACCTATTAACAATCAGACAATAATTACGTCTAGTCTTTGCAGTCTAGTCCAGGTCTAAGTCAAGAATTTTGTTCTTCAGTTGTAAATTGCTTGTCAAAGAAATGTGTATGTGTTAGATACATGTGTGGAAGTGGAAAGAGCCCAAATGTTGTTGTTGTTTGGTATTGGTATTTCAAGTCAAATATTTATGCAAGTATTTGTTATGGTATAAAGTTGTTCATTACAAGTTTAATGCGCCTTACATAAACATGGCAGCACAAATGTTTGGTAATGTCCCTCAGTTGGACTCAGGGTATAAATTTGAAGATTGGATTGAGGTTCTTGAGTCATGGTTTATAGCTAATGATATTACAGCAGATGCAAAGAAGAAGGGTATATTCTTATCAGGATTAGGAAGTAAATCCTATGCCACATTACGTGCATTGTTGCAGCCCAACAAACCAATTGATAAAACTTACCAAGTATGTAAGGATACCCTGTCTGAACATTTTGCCCCCCAACCAACTGAAATAGTCCAAAGGTATAAGTTTTATACTTGTGTTCAAGAATCACGTGAAACAATCCCGCAATTTGTTGCTCGTTTACGCCAGTTGAGTGAAGGATGCAAGTTTAAAGAATTGAATAGCATGCTTCGAGATCGCCTTGTAGTTGGTTGTAAGGACAAAGCTACACAAAGAAAGCTTCTTAGTGAATCAGAGCTTACATTTGATAAAGCGTTGAAAGTAGCCATGGCCATGGAGATAGCTAATAGAGATGTTGAACAATTGCACTCCAGTGACAATGGTAGTGAAGACAAAGAGGTTCACCAGTTAAGAACCACGCAGATGAAAGAAAGGTCTTCAAGCAAGTGGAATTCCAAGCTTACTGAGAAGGAAAAGCCCACAGGTCAGTGGACTGACCAGAAGTTAAGGTGTTGGCGTTGTGGATCGACAAGACATGTTCATCAATCCTGTCCGTTTCAGAAAGAGCAATGCTATCAATGCCAGGAAATTGGACATACTAAAAGCCAATGCAAAGCAGTAAAGAACTATTTTGCAAGATAATTATATTTATGCCAAGTGAAACTATTGTAGATCAAACTCTATTTGTTATGGGGTTAAACATTTTTAATCTTGTATTGTATAAGTCTGCAAAAGTTCAACAGATGTTGTTTATATGTGTTACATAATTATAAGGCAATGATTAAAAGGTAAACATTTATTTTCTTTAGCGATGAAAGCTAATTTGGTGCATTCATCACAAGTGTTGATGTTTTAAAAGTAACAGTGTAAATTGTTCCACATTTTATCAAAAATACTACACGATTTTCATGGAGAAAATGTCACTTATTTTGGTCTGTTCTTTATTATGCCAGGAGATAAGTTAGTTGATAAAGTTTGGATCCAATCAGTTTTGTATCAAAGTACAAGGATTTTGTTTTATTTTCTTGCCATGTAAAGTTTTCATGCATAAAGTAATGCATAAAGTACTGCATAGAGTAATGCATCAAATAATGCATATGTTGACTATTTTCACGGAGGAAAAGTGTTGTTCCTTGGGTGTCAAACAACCTTCAAGTAAAACTTAGATCAGTAAAAATAGGTTGTTATAACAGTGAACATTTTGTGTTGTTGTATTTACATGCATACAAGCAATGTTGCTAGTTTATGTTATACATGGAATAGGATTTTTTTAATAGAATCAAGTTGTGTGAGTACATTCCTATCTTGCCAGTGTCACATCTCTATACAAACATTTTTTGAGAAAATAAGACCATATTGTTATATAGTTCTGCCCTAGTCTGCATGCCAGTTTGATACATGTATTTCATTTTGATGTACCCATGTAATTCACTAAAAGGGGGAGGAATGTTATGTATGACGTCTGAAATTAAGACTATTCATGTCTTGACTTGTCATTTTATGTATACGCATTGCCCAATGTACCGCGCGCAGTTTCCATCGATGCCTTCATCGAATAAAGTCCATGCTACCACCATGTAGTTTTAAAGTTACGAATACGTCTTTATTTGTCATCTTTATTTGGCTGAACATCAACCTTGAACATTGACAGAACATAATAATATATATATATATATATATATATATATATATATATATATATATCCACTCATCAAAAGTAAAAGTTTATGATATAACCTTGTACTCTCCTTATATCATCAATAAAGTCACCACTAAAAATAATGCTGTCCTCTACAGTACTACTACAACTACTACTACTACTACTACTACTACTACTACATACATACATACATGTACTAGGATAACTTTCAGGTGAATGCAATTCTAAATGCTCTCTCAGTGCCAGGTATTAAAGGAGAGGGGTTGTCAGTTTCCATGTGCAGAAGGTCATAATTCGCTGACGCCAGACTTGGTGGAAATACCATTAATAAGTGTAGCCTACACACAGTAGACCAGTAGGCCTATCAAGAAACACCCCCTAGTCTCTAAGAGATTCTCCCAATGAGGGAAAAGTGAGATAATGACTTATTTATATAATGGGGAAATGGATGGAAAATCCAAAACATTACATCAGGCCTGTTGGTCATAACACTGATGATTGACAACACCTGATATTGGGTAAACACCTGAACAGTGTCTATGTAATTCCCTATGAGAGCCCACTCTTACCGGTATGCAATATGCATCTTTAACCTTATTTCTCAGTACAAAGTAAAACATTACAGGGACATAAATGTGATTTCATGCCTCAAAGTCAAAATGCTAAATTTCATGAATTAAAGGTACTATGTCCCATTCGCAGGCCAAAAAAATGAAAAGGTTAAATTCCAACGGCATTTGAAAGATAATACTAATTTAGAACTTCCCTAAAAAAGGTGGGGCTTGAAAATGTCTTCAAGTGGGAAAATAACAACTACCGGGTATTAGTTGTCAAATCGACTTAGGAGCTATAGAGCCAATAAGTAATAGTCTTGATTTTCACACCATTGTACCGAATGATTGTACGTAATATGCTGCGCAAAGATTCAATCAGTTTAATTTTGGCCATCACAAGAAGTGGGTTATTGATGTAGACAAATGCCCTTTAGAGCTCATTTCATGTATGTCATTACCAAAGAAGAAAAAAACACAAAAAAACAGTCAGTCACTCAATAGTGTCTGACAGTGAAGTCTAGCAAGTAAACAGGTTTCCTTGCATAATTTGAATATTAGGACATTGCTAACGTTCAAATTTCACAGGACATACATGACATATTCATAATTCCTGCAAAGTTCTACATAATTTGAGGTTGGCTGCAAAAGGGACATTGTATCTTTAATGGAATAGCTGGTTATCACAGAAGAGGGACCTTTCCAGACAATGTGATAAGATTGTCTGCCAGTAAATGTTTCTACTTTCCATATTTTGATATCCTTTTGATGTAGATTTTTGTGTAGCAGTGTAGTATGTATTCTAATAGTCCCAAATATTAAACCTACATACCCGTACATACATGTACAGTATGTAGCGCAAGTGGTTATACCATTGTTTAAGTGAGCAAAACAACTTACATGAATAACATGAAGAGAAGTGGTCAATCGAGTACTGATTATGCTTGATAAGGAAAATTACATGAATTTGGACAATTCATTTTAAACAGATCAGGTATCCGTGAATACCTTTCCGTCAATGCCTGACGGGAGGCCGCAACTAAGTCCGGGAACTTTTTACTTGCACCATGCATATGGCTCTTGTAAGCACACACACACACACTCCATCAGTCTGCAAGAATCTTTAATTGTGAAGGACGTAACCCAAAGAAGAAGAAAAAGAAATCATGTTTCACAGCTTTGGCATGGTATCAGACAAAAAGTGAAAGCAGATACTTACATAAGAGATCAAGCTCTGAAATTTGCTTGTTGCTGATCTTTTGTTTCTGCAAGAGACAGGGAATTTAAGCATACTGTAATATCAATTTGTAGTTGCAGCTAAAAAAAAAAAAACACTTTAAAATGTGTAACATAACTACATAATTGAGAGCAATATTACATGAAGCAAAACGATACAAGACTCAAAGAAAAACAACTTAACAATTTTAGAGTATTACGGTAATATCTAAAATTGTTAAGTTGTTTTTCTTTGACTATTACCCTAACTTTCTTCAATAAAACTGACATTTGTCAACCTTTCCGAATTCCTCTAGGTGGTCATTGGACTTGGAGCCAGACATAGTCTCAGCAGAACAACTGTTGATATCTGAGACTGCAACTTTTAGTCTTACTTAGCTTAATTATGTCTGTATCTGTATCCGTCCGTGACGTTGTCACGTACGTTACGTAGGGTTAGGGTCAAACGTCAAACACGCCTAAATATTGAAGTGTGATTCAGCTTTCTCATTTTTACTTAACTTAGATCTAATGTCAAAAGTAAAGCAAATCTAGGCCTTGTCTCTTAGTCTAGCAGTAAATTTACTCGATATACTAGAGGCCTACCCTAGGTTTAAACTAGTGGCAGTAATAATGGCTAAATTATAAATAAGAGATTGTAGGGTGAACTGACAATTTACACAGCTGGACATTATTTGTACACCTACCACGCACTCCTGTACGATCTTCTCAGTGATGGATTTACGGGGCACAGTCCGCCCGACAGAGTTGGCCAGATGGGTAACTTCTCGGATGCTTTCCTCGCCGAAGACCCCCCATTTCTTAACGACTTCTCCGAGTTCTTCGCGTTTCAAGACACACAAGACCTTTCTTAGTATGCCTTTGATGTCCGAGGAAACCATTGTTGCCACATACTATTACTAGATTAAAAGTAACTTGAGGAATGTTATTTTCGAAAATTATGCTCACGTTCACTATTTCGTAAATTTGTAAATACCGCTGGAATGGGCTATTTCATTACTGTCTAGGGGGAATCTATTGACATCAAATGATCAATGACAATCTTTCGACAAAATCTGATATATCGGCAAATATAATAAATATTCATTAACAAACTTTGAACTCATATGAGAAACAGTGAAAATTTAATGATTTATGATAGCAAATTTATGGTTATCAGTACGATTTATTGTGAATTTTGTTATATCAGAGACAATCCATATATCCCTGTATAAAATTGGAATAGTCTCAATATTAATCCATCCATTAATTTCTTCCGGGTTAACCGAACCGGTGTTTACTATTTGGACGGGCAGAATGTCACAATTTTTCTTTTGGAGTCCAGAAGAGGCAGCAGAGAAACAAGTCTTGCAGATTGGTGCCTCAGCATGTGGTGCTACCGGTGTCATTAATGTTTTGGTAAGTTTTATATCATCAACTGATGCACTCCAGCAAAGCAAAGAGAGTCAATGCTAATTACAATGCGTATTGACCACTAGGGCTGCTTTACGTGTTAATATGTAGCATTTGAATACCTGAATAGTCAGAACACTCATAACACACAGATGCACACAATCATAGCGATGCGGCTGATCGGAAAGTTTGACATTGGACTCACAATTTAAATTTTTAAATTATTCTTTCTAACATCGGAAAGTTAAAAAATTGTATTTTACTGCTATTTAGGTGTCACCAATCGTCACTAAAGTACCGATTTTGAGTGAAATCAGTTGAGTTTTGTACAGTGGTGTTTGAAATGTTGAAAATCAATAGCACAGCTTAGTTTTAATACACAGCCAGGATAGTATATATAGCGCGAACTAGACCAACATTTCTGTCTCTTTCGTTCGTTACCCTCTGATTTGGGTAGGGTCGTCTCCTCTCTAGAGGAGTTGACCCTATATACCCAAATCAGAGGCGAACGAAAGAGACAGAAAGTTTGGTCTAAGCGCGAAAAAGCTAGACCGCTCCTGTTGCTGGGGTAAAGGTCAGCGGGACAAATGTTTCGCACAGAATTTAAAAACGAATAGTCAATAGAGTGCCTCATCTTCTGCTATATTTGTAAACATTTTATCAATTTCTTTTTCTGTTTTTCTTATGTTATTCTTTGTTCTTCCATAATTCATCTTCTTTTCTATCTATAAACTTTCTATTTATAGACTATTTATCATTTTCTCTCTCCCACTTTCCTTATGTTAGTCTTTGTTTTTCTGTCTTTCACTTCTTATGTTATTCTTTGTTTATTATTCTATTATTTTCTTCTTTACTTCTTTTGTCATGTTATTCTTTGTTTTCCTTCTATCATTTTCTCTTTCTATTTGTCTTAATACACCAGTTTACGGTTACGGACGCCATTTAAACAAAGCCAATAATCTCTAGAGGTCAGTGGCTTATGCGTAAATTAAGATTGCGCCCATGCATTATGATGATATTACTGCCTGCGCGCTGCATTGTGCGCTTACATCATAATTTGCATGGGCGCAATCTTAATTTACGCATAAATACCGCTGACCTCAGGTCATTGGCTTTGTTTCAAAGCCAATTACATGTCTGCGCATGCGCAGTGATGTAACCGTAAACTGGTGTATTACATCATCTTCTCATCTATCTTTCCATTATCTATTTTTGACAGACATATGGCACATTATAAATGTTCACTATTATTATTTGTTATTTATCATTCTTCTTTCTATCATTCCTCATGTTATTCTTTGTTTCTTCCTACTATCACCTTCGATTATGTTATTCTTTTTTTTACCAAACGTTCTATCATTTTCTTCCTACTATTCCTTATCTTCTTTGTTTTTCCTTCTATCACTCAGATTTGGTTTGGACAGGGGTGTGCCGCTCAAGCCTCGAAACCCCTACCCATTATTAGGGGGCATTTTTCTCGAAAAAAAGACCCATTTTCCACATTTTTCGGGTGTATTTCCACTTTTAATGAAAAACGTTGCAAATATTGAAAATTTTGAAGAAAGAAAGACCCATTTTTAATGGTACAGCGGCACACCCCTGTATGTCCTAATATGTGAGTATCACACTTTCTTTTTCTGTCTTTCATTATGTAATTATTTGTTTCTTCCTTCTATGCACCTTCTCTTATTAGTCCGGCAGCCATCTCGATATACCTTGTTTTAGGGTCTATAGTTTTTTTTTCTTCGGATTATAGTTCCTTAGACCATCAATTTGAAGAATCCGATTGCTGACACTCTGTCAGCATTGAGCAATTTGAGATATGTGACGTCATACAAAATGGCCGCCAAAATCCCCTTTTTAACCAAAATTAATGATATAAAAAGTTTAACAGCATTTTACTACTTTAAATGGCAATCAAATATCTTGATTTTTTTTCTAGAATCATCACTAAATAAAAATCGCGATGTTGTATGATCACAAATGATATGCAAATTTGCATAATTCGGAATGGCGCCCTCTATAGACACATTAACTTGAATAGTTCAAAATGATGGCCAAATACCAATTTCTAACATGAGATTATCATATGTAATGAGTCAGATGCACTGGATACAGTGAGTAAAAATTGTGCTGCACATTTATTTTTATTTTGTAATTTGATACTCGAAGAAAACACGGTTGAATTTTATGCTCTCTGTCCAATAGATATGAGGTGGCATATGGTGATAAATGCCCATTTCCAGTGACAGCGTTAAGAAACTAGATTTGTATTCTAGATTCTTTTAAATTAACCTAAAAATTACGAACTACCAATACGATACAGGACTATATCCGTTTATAAGTTTGCTTCAAAATCTTGAAATTTGTTTAAAAGCCCTCTAAATTGTTGGGAACCCTAAAATATTCCATGCGGAAGAGGGTGTCATTTAACACTTAATTCTGCAAAGTGAGGTCGTGACTGTAATGCGTGCTCCCACACACATGTTTGCAAATGAGCTCTCTTAACATTTTCTACAAACGCTTCAGTAGTTTGAGGTAGTGAGGCAAGGTTTGGGGGTATTTGGAGCTTAGTACGTAGACGTCTGTGTCATCCACTAGGACCCTAACATACATCTTCTCATTAGCATCAATTCAAATCGCTTGCTGTATTTTGATGTTGCCTGCTTCATCATAACTATGTTGTGGACAGACCTTTCCTTGGCATGACATCACTGCCTGGAATCACTTCAACAGGAACCTCATCTTGACGGTAAAGGCCTGCTTGTGCTTTTGCCTATTTCTGAGCACCCAATCATCCTGCAGACTCGCGCAGATAATTATGATGTCGATCAACTGTAGTTTGTTGTCATGAAAAGATAGTGAAGTTAGCAACACTAGAGACACGTTTCAACAACTTCTCTCCTAGCTTTATTGATCTTTCCAAAGCTTTTGGCTGCGTACAACATAAACGCCTATGGAAGATTATTAGCTAGATGGGCTTTCCAGCACATATAATTCAACTCATTCAGTCGCTCTACCAACACCAAGAAGCAACAGTAAGAACAGAGAATGGCTACACCGAAAGGTTCACTATTGGTCAAGTTGTCCGTCAAGGCTGCATCCTATGGTCAAGTTTCTGTTGGTGGACGAACGATCACCAACCTAAGATACACCGACAATACAACACTCTCTGGCGTATTGATGGGGAAGGGTTGGGGGGGGGGGTTGGGGACAGTTAAACCCCCAAACAAAATTCAAACTGTTTTTTCTATATATTCGATACCAGTGATTTAAAAATGTTGCTGAAATGACATGATTTTCCTGGTTTTTTTCTCACTTTTTAGTAAATTATTATTTGTTAAGCGTATGTTGGAAAATGTCAAATCCTAAATTCACAGTCAAGCAAAAATATGCTTATTTAAAAGCCTACATGTCAGGGTCCGCAGAACAGCGGGGGTCAGGGGACTCGAGCCCCCTCACTTTTTGTATAAAGTATGTTAAAGAGAACTAGAAAGAAAGAAAGTGACCCGAGGTGAAATGAGGTATTAAAGTATGTTCATCTTACAGTTAATAAATGCCTGAAACCCTTGAGCTTCCGGGGGCTGTGCCCCTTGAACACCACGCCAATTTGCGCTCCACTCTTCCTGATCGTAAATACTTCACCCCCCCCCCCCACCCCGCTTTTAAAAAAGTTCTGCGGGGCCTGCATGTATTAATTATATGAGTGGTGGTGATGCAGATTGTTTTTCTGCCCCTCTAAGTGTTTTTGCTCAATATGCCACTGACAACACTTATAACAAGAACATCAGAAGAACTACTAGAACTCCTTAAAAAAGAGTGAAGGATGCAAGTGAATAATTTGGACCCTACCTCAATGTGAAAAAAAAACAAGATCATGATTGGTGGAAATTAACTATATGCAACAGAGCATGGTGGTTGATGGAGAAGAAGTTGATCAAGTGGACAAGTTTATATAATGTTCTTGGGTCAATGATTGTCAAGGAGGGTGGAAGTTCGGCAATATCTGCCTTTGAAATGTGGTGTTGGAGGAAGATACTTGGGATATCATGAAGAGATTACAACACCAACGGACACAATTAATGTCCATCATCGGAGATCAACCGCCACTTGCTACCAGGATTGACGGTACAAGCTACAATAGTTTGGTCACGTTAGCAGAAGATCAGGAGACAACCTTGACAAATTATCATTCAAGGTACCTTTGAAGGAACACGTAACAAAGGAAGAGTCAAGCTCAGATGGACTGACGACCTTCGGGAAATCACTAGCCACCCTCTAAATACTAAAGACACTCTACCGGATTGCAGGAGGCAGATGCCGATCAAAAGGTCTCATCAAACGGGTCACAAGGGTGAGCCATGATCTATATGACAACGACGACGACGAACAGTAAGAGATAGTTTCTTGGAGGGCAGCAGTGACGCGGGACTCAGTTGGAAGACTCTCGACCCGTTATGACCTCTAGATACTCTCGGATCTGTCAAACACCAAGCAAACATCACCAGATTTTCATCTACAGCAGAGCACAACCATCAATGACTGTACAAGGTTGTTCCAGTGTCTCATGCCTGGCTGACATCTCAACTTTTGTCAAATTCTATAAGTCCGTCTTTGACATGGGAGTGCTCGTTTCCAGAATCATCAACAAGTGCTGTTGGGACTGCTGAAAGCTCTTATGACAAAATGTCCTTGACATTGACCTCTCTTGAACTTGTCTGCAGTCCTATTACTCTGGAGTAGATCAACTTTTCATAGACTTTCGTACCCCAACATTGACTTCTTCATGGCTGCCACGGTTTGAACTTTCTTGGAAATTGTGTCATAGAATCCACCAGGTAATTTCTTTTGAAAATCATGCATCTGTGTAGTATAGATGTCAACTGCTTTATCCACATTCACTGACGTTGGAGCAATGCTGGTCTAAATAAAGCCTATCAATTGAATAATAATGTGTGCCGTAAAACCACTTCTCACCGATTTGATGAAAAATTAATTCCTTCATAGCCATTTTTTACTTGACATATGTAGGGTAGGTGTAGGGAATTGGAGACTACCAAGCTTGAACCCATCACTGTCTGTCCGTGTTGGCTCCAATATTGATATAGCGACATTTGTGGTCTTCAAAAACACTACTGCATATATCCAATTCATTTCGAAGACTACAATGCGTTCTCTCTCCGAGAAAATTGGCAAAATTGACCAAGATAAGCAATTTTGATCGTAAAATTTTGCTCTGATATAAAAACACAATTTTCACTGAATGTTGTGGTGTATGCAGATATTTAGGGGTGGCTCTTAAAAATTAGTTTTAAAAGGAAGTTTATGAAATGTGCCAACCATCACAGAAAGCTTATGGCCATTGTGTGTTGTGAATGGGTGTTGCAATTCACATTATGAATGGTATCTGATCAGAAATGTGTGTAGGTAATTGGGGACACCAGTTCTAAGATTGGGGCCTACTTCTCCCGAGTTGTCCATTTCATGTTGAAAGGCACTATCATGAAACATATTTGGTTGTACAGGTCACCATTCTAATTTGAATGCATTTAATTTTAAGAAGTTGTTTCTATGCTGTGAGTTTGATCAATGTAAAAGTCATATTGCCAGAACATTATTCTGAAAGTATTTTAACATAATTGAGAGCACCTTTATTACTGTAAACAAAAAACTACAGAAATATTTTGGGCCACATTGTTTTAAAATCGTTTCAAAATTACAGTAAGTTCATTGGCTCCATGTATCTCTTTCAAAAAGTGTTTGAACTAACTATAACAATCCCATTTTCATTCAAATTGTATTTAAAATGTCTTGATTTGTAACTGTCCCTTATAACCTACACATGTACGTAATGAGAGACCTTTGGTGATGACGTCATTAATCATTGTTATCTTATTAATCAGTTACATCATGACCACAATTTCGTTACTAAATAAAGAGAAAAAATACTAAAGAGAATACAAAAATGTCTGTATGTGTAACATTGATCATGTTTATGTAAATTATGCAAATGTGCTTTAAGGGTCTTCCATTCCCCACACCTACCCTATCTAAATTTGTACCAAACACGATGAAAGATTAATGCAGCACAACTGCAATTGTTACCCCCAAAAAGCATTTAATATGATTTCAACGTGACATAGATTTAAGAAATTGGCATTTGGCTGGCACACATATTTTATTCAAATTAATATGTTTATAGAGGGCGCTTTTTCAAAATATGCAAATAAGCTGGTCATCTATGGCCATGCAACATCACAAAATATTTTGTTAGTGATGGTCCTAAAGAGATACAGACATTTGGCTGCCAAAATTTGTAGAAAAAAATCCTTATTATATATTTATTATTCATTTTTAAAGGAAAATCATGTAATTTGGCGGCCATTTTGTATGACGCCATATATCTTAAATTGCTCAAGGCTGACAGAGTGTCAGCAATCGGATTCTTGAAATAGAAGGTCTAGGCAATCAAAATCCATTGAAAAAAAAACTATAGACCCTAAAACAAGGTTAGGCCAATAATCTGGATTTGGCTGCCGGACTATATGTTATACTTTGTTTTTATCATTCTATCATTTTCTCTTTATCTTTCCTTACATTATTCTCTGTTTATTCGTGTACTGTAGGCCTACTCTCGTCCTCTTTTTTTTAACATTCCCGCCAAAAACACACTCACTTCCGGTTGAAGATCGCTTTCTGGCACGGTTTATGTTTACACTGCACGCTAGATCTGTCTGGGGCAATCTAGGAAGAGAACCGGTCCAGAAGATCACTTCCTGGACCGCTTGTCTGTTCACACTCACAGTAAGACCAATCTAGCCTAGATCGATCTAGCCTGAATCAGTCTAGGAAGTGAGTGAGAACGAGGTCATAGACGTCACATATATATATTCAGTCTATTAAAGAGGATTTAGAACATATTTCAATGAGAAACCATTTTCAAGGGAATCAATAATGTTGTCTTTTTAGACAGGGGGTCGCTAAACCAGGTTTGACTGTAGTTTCATTTGTATGAAATTGAATGCGGAATAGCAAGAGGAGCAGAATGGCGAAAGTTTGAAATACATCAGACCAATAATAAGAAATTCACAAGTGTTTGAAATATGAGATCCATGCCTATGTCTATGGGTATGCCAATCGCAAATTGACGTTTAGGGCAATGGATTCAGTGGATTGTGACAAGTCATGGGACAACTTTCCTGCTTGTTATCTTCATATATTATTATTTAATCTTTTTCTCCTAAGTGCCCTCTCCCTTGGGACAGTACAACTCTAAATATGTTATATGGGTAGCATGTCAATATTATGAAGGTCCGAGGCATACATTTTGAAAAATTAACATTTAAGTTACCGGCACTTCATCACAGTGATATTGATTACAAATTTAGAGAAGTTATAACTTTCTCATTTGTTTTTTTTCCGATAGAAGTTAGGAATCTGGTTGGTGTAGGAAATTACCACTGATCAATTTTCGCAAGAGCAAGAGTCATGCAAATTTGTTGATTATCATGTCAAATTTCCTCATATCCCTCACCTGCTTCCCACCAATCAAACTTCCTAAAAGTGCTTTAATTCTTTAATCATGTACTATGAGAGATTCAACAATGTGTATTCATTAGGTAAGATACTTGGCCAAACCTGTTCTTCGTGGTCTAATTTTCTTCTTGCATAGTAACTTTTGAGATATATCAAGAATAGGGTCATACATGTGTGCGTTGTATGGTCATGCATTTCAATTTCAATTTTAATTCAATTTCAATTTATTGTCCAATATTGAAAATTTGTTTTGCTCACATTTTACAAACGTAAAGAGAATCAAAATAAGTTTACATACACAATATATCATTTATATTGACATAGAAATTCTTCAGAATATTGCTATACAGACATTTTCTTATGTTATTGCCTATTTTACAACTCCTCCAGAGAGTATTAGACCTTCCCAGCTCAGTAGAGGAGGTGGCACCGCACATCAACACCCGACTACGGGCCGAGGATGCCCCCGTCATCGAGTATCTCCACTCCAGGAGTGTGGCAGGGACGACCCATGAAGAACTGATTGCAGGGTTGGAGAAGAGCTCACAATCAAAGGTCTTCGCTCGATTCTTCCCCTTCCATCCGAGGAGAGATGTGAACCTTTCTGATTGGCTCAAAGGATGGATGAGGCAAGGTGAGGTTAACTCAAGTCTCATAGAATACGATAGAACAGCTAGGGCAATGTTGATGTTGTATTTTCACTGTTTTATCAGACATCAATCATTATTTCATGATACTGATGTTATAGTTATGATTTTTGAGTAATATTTTGAGTCACGCTTTATGAGTAAGAATAGAATTAATAAAACACGTTACCGTAAATCTCAGTGTTTAAGATGCACCTGTATATAAGACACACCCTTATTTTGGGGGGCCGAGTAAAAAAAAAAAAAAAAAAATCTTGTTTCTGTGTATAAGATGAACGCCGACTTTCAATTTTTTTTCGTTTGTCCTTCTCTATGTGCATAGGAGTTGTTGGACTGGCTACCCTCAACCTTCAACGAGCGGTACCCCAAGGGTACCAAGTACCAGATGCATGGCACCATCAGATGATCTATGGTGTAGAAGACAACAAGATTTACATGTGCAATCCTGTGGTGGCCGAGTCTCATGCAGATGTTATGGAGCAACTATGTAGTGAATCAGTGCTCTTGGTAAGTTGTTAGGTTTCATTTCATTTGTTCATTTATTTTCATCTTCATATAAAAAACAATAGATCATTACAATATTATACATATTAAAAAAAATACATGCAATCATACATGTTAACAGTATCAAAGAGACCAAATTTACAAGTCGAAAATGAGAAAAGGGGAACTAAAATAAGGCCAAAAGGCCTTGTAAAATTATAAGTTTCCTGAAAGTATAAAATTGTCATTTGGTTTTTTCTTAGAGCTGTGTCATTCTTTCATGTTCTTGTGATTTTGAAAGTTATGTTCTAAGGTCAAAGATCACTAGTTTTTACCCACAAGACTCTCTTATGACTAGTAATTTTGCATACACGTACATTGCTCCGAATGTAACCAAACCTGGATCAGGGCAACATTTATATAATTTAGTAAAATGTGGGCAAGACAATATCAGGCTATGGCCTTGAGTCACTCAAAATGTTATTCATGCTCCTGAACTGTGAACCCATAGAGCGCCAGATAAAATCACAAAGTTGATCTTGTACATTCTGGCTATACACAAATTGTTTTTTTTAGATATTTGGCACTCCTTGAAAAAAAATTATATGCTCATTTCAAAGTGCCATCTGATGACCAACATTTTTTGAAAGAAAATCTCCTTCAAAAATGCTGAAAGAATATTGTTTTGTCTTATTGTGTATTACGGTAAACCTGCAGATACGTCGGTCAGATATCATGAAGAGATACTCAGCTGAGGAAGACTTACGTAAAATAGAAGTTCATCCTGATATGAGATGGAGAGAGATGAAAGTATCAGGTAATAAACTAGTGTTGATTTAAATATGAATCATGTATTCCATGTTTCTAAACTTTTTATTGAAAAGTAGATAATCAATAGCCTTAGGCCTAAAAAAAAATGATGCTGTATTGCCATTTGCGACCGACCCAAAAATCTTGAAATCTGCGCTCAGCTTTTGATTATCTTTTTTCTTACTGTTTTTTAGAGAAAAAAATCTATTTAAGCATTCAAAACTGAGAAATATCAGCACAAAGAGGGAGTAAAGCTACAGTCACAAAGGTTTGTACGAATGATTATTTGTACGAATCTCCGTTTTTCCATTGTCTTCCCGAATATCCATTATTTGAAAATCGTTCGTACGGCATTCGTAGCAGTTCGTAATGGCATTTGTGACCGAGGCTTAAAAAAAAGAGATTTCCGACTGACCGACCCATGATTTGGCACCTCAAGGGCAATGCAACATCTTTTTTTTAAGGCCTTATATATACTGTTGTTGCCAAAGGAAACTGTTAGAAAATATAAATCAACACAAGTCCTTGATGTGTTTGAGAGTGAAACTGCTGATATTGGTACAGAGATTTTTACCTCAAAGATACGTATCATCATTCACCTGTACAGATGATCATGAACTGTCATGATAACAAGTCCTTGGTGTACATTAAGCTTCTGATTGCTTGAGAGTTCTAGTTACTTTTTGAGTTTCATTCAATCACTACTTTAAGCATGTACTTCAGTGTTTTGTTTGTTTTTAGTACTAATAAAATATTCAGCAAAGCAGCATCGTTATAAAAAAAAAATTGCCTACGGGGTACATGTTTGCAAAAGTAATCTTCAGACACGCATTTGTCATGTTCTTTTTCTTTATCATTCCACGAAACATCCTTCAAAATGAACCAATACCGGTAGTTTGAGAGCTGATTCCTATTCAAATGCTGTCTAATATTTCCACATTACCAGTATACCCTTCAGGTATATCTTGCCTTTATGTTTTTTATGCATGCCATACACATACCTGCCAACCACCCCGATTTAGGCGGAGTTTCTCCGCATTTTTCATACCAACTCCGAATTCCGAGTGCATGCCTCAAAACTCCGATTTTTTTATTCATTTTTTTTTTTTTTAATATTTTTTTTTAAATTAATATTTTGTGTGTGCGTCCGCCATTTTCAATGGAAAAATGTCCATTCTGTCCTGTAAAGTATCCTACAAGCATCTCACATCAGCAATTTGGGGATGTTTATTCATACCTGCGTATAGCCCACGTGTATTTATATTACATGTGCAGTTGATACGCCGTGCATAAACACTGTATACATTGGCGTGTTTTCTTCAATGCTTGTGCGATGACTGCGATCGTGGAAGCTTGTTATTTACCGGACTTCCTCGGATTTATTTTGGATTACTACTACTATATACCTTTGCAAAATAGGGCTCCTAACTGAGGTGGGTAGTGAAGCATGTAGTTTTGTGAGTGTTCACATTTCAAAAATTGTTTATGTGTGGGGCGAAAAGGTTGAAGGAAAAGGCCCATTTGCACCATTAAAATGGAGAGAAAAAAAAATAGACCCTAAAGTCCTGTGTACCCCCCCCCCCCCCCCAATCTACGGGCTACTCCCCCAATCCTTCGGTGGTTCGCGACCTCGTAGTCCATCCAGAAAAATTTACTCCTAATTTCTCTTGTCTCAGGTTGGCAGGTATGCATACATTCCAATGCTACTATGTTGCAGCCCTCTTCTTTTCTCTTTCTCCAAGCTCTCTATCCTCTTCTCCTTGCCTGATCTCTTTTTTCTTTTCTACCTTTCTTCTATTTATAATGTATATTATGTATTTGTGTAGTCGGGCGTACCCATTACAAGCTTTGCTTATCGGCATTCGCGCCTTCTTCCTTGTAATACAAGTTCTTTAATTATATTTATGTTCCTACATATAAATTGTATTGTTTGAACAGATGTCAAATATGTTGTCAAATTGAATGGAAGAAAATAAATGTTCATTTGAATTGAATGGAATTGAATTTTGTGATTTATAACGGAAGTCCTCTTCCTCTCAAACTGCACTTTTTACTTTCAGACCAAGTTTACAAGATCATCGATGAGGACATGGCCATCCCGCTACCAAAGACCGCTGCCTATGATGTTCTGAGGGATTGTCTTTTCACCAGCCATGTGACGATCCCTGCGGCGTATCAGTCTGGTATCACGTTGTGTGTAAGACAGGACAATATCGAGGCATGTCAGAGGTTGACAGATGCTAAGCAATTACCCATCTTAGAGTCTAGAAAGAACGAGGAGGAGGAGGAGGTGGAGGTGGTGATTACCTCTAAAAGGACTGAGGATTCAGCTTCAGGCGCTGCTAGTTTAATACCATAGTGGAATTTCTATCATTATTATGACTTTGTTATGATTATCATTATGAGTGTGTGTTTAAGTAGTAGTCAAGTCTTGCCCGAAGAGTGAGAAATTATTAAATTTTGTGATTCCTCGCAAATCTAACTTTATTTCATAATTGAATTGAATTCCTTTGTCTACTGAGAGCCACAAGGATATTAGCTCTATGTATAAGTATAAGAACGAACACCCTTCTTGCCATCAGATTTGATTATTTTAATTGATCTTTTGTTTGTTAAGCTCTGCATGGTATTACCACTGACCTTCAGAATTATTGGAAGAAGTAACACATGAAGAAGACGACAACAACGATATTGATTCACTGTGTGGATTTAGAGGGATAGTTTAAACATTAATGAAATCAACTGCTGTACAGCGCCACTAAACATGTGTCCCAATATGGATTCTTCATCCTGATGTCAACAAGAGGCAAATATGTTTTTAACTTTAAATGCCTACTTCCAAGGTATAAATGTTATTTTTACCCGATTCTCAACCACGATTCCTAAAGACTTGAGTCTAGCCTATACTGTAGCTCTGTCAATCTCTGGCTGTGTCAATTAAACTACAGAGCCAATGGTGTGCAGTAGACCTACAGTCTCAAAGTGCAGACACTGTTACGCACAACGGATGACAAATGTTTGTGCTTGGCAAACTAGGTAGTTGATGGCTGAAACCAGTTTCTTTGCTTTTAGTTATTACTTTCTAAGCCTAGGACTGCATGAACATCATGTTCATGATCATGGCCTTTTACGTTTTGATTATTAGCATCTCCACTGTCATCATCATCATCATTGCTTCCCTCCACCACCAAATCGTCCCACGTCTCACTTTATATTAGCTTTTCTTCTTTTTTATCCGAGCCTGTACAAACGATATCATGTCTTTCCACCTCCCTCACTATTCCTATCAACACTTGCAAGTCATCGTTTTATCATCTGCATCGATGTGCAATCATCACATTTCATTGTGGCGTCAGTTTTTTCTGTACCATCTTCATCAAAGCTGCTGTCGATATCATCCCTCATTTGGGATCATCTGTACCATTCCTCAAGATACAAGTGTTTTCTCCCGATTGGAGATGGACGGAATAAACAAATGATGGTTTGATGCTTACCAGCCAGATAGTCTAGCTATCTGCACGTATATCTGCATACATATCCTAGCTAGCGCTTGGAGGCTGGTTTCACATACAAGTTCCCTCCATCTACAGTATTTTGTTTTGATAAATTTGTGCGGTTCTGGATTCACCAAAGAAAAAATAAATCAGTGCCAAAGTCTTGATCAAAGACCAAACATTAAAAACACGTTGACGTTAGGTTGGGAAAACCTACAAAAGAAAAATTGCTTAATGTCAAATAAGGGCTCATGAGGTGATATATTAGCAGATGTAGTGTAAATTGAGATTGTTTAGGAAGAAAATGGTGATTGATCTCCCAATTGCTTCTTACTTTGGCTATCCCTATGCAATGTGTTCTGTACAACACAAGTCTTCTTTTCATCCCTTTCACTCCCCCCCCCCCCCCCCCAAATATAAGTTTCTTGATATGACCATTGACAGATGGTACTGATACCAGAAGTTATTGTTAGTCAAAGTCATTCAAATAAAGTTTTGATGACATACATAGATAAAATACTTTTGTCCGAGATACATTGCATGTTCTCGCCCAAATGCTCTTCTCACACCTGTGCAAGGCACTACTTATAACCCACTAGTCGGTGACAAAAAACAAATATTTACAAACCTGGTCTGGTATTCTAAGGCAAGACAATTCCAAAATATTCTATTTTTGTCTTGATAAAAAAGCTTGGTATTCTGAGGCATCTTTTTTTCTCTGATTTTATCTTTTTTAAAACCTAAATCTCTTGCTCAATTCTTGCGTGCCCATTACAGTTATATGGGTGATACGCTCTAACACTAATGCCCTCTTATTTTATGTGAAAATTGGGCTATTTTATCTTTCGGACACACAGTAAGTGTAAATTTTTTGGGAAAAGTATGCTGCTACTTGTGTGATTGAGAACAACAACAAATACCAAGTGCCCTGTATCGACTATTTCTCAAGGAACATTCTTGAAGGGTTATCGAGTTGTATTTTTAGATTTTTGTAGACTAATATCATACTTGCAATGATGCATGTAACAGGGCTTTAAAGCATCTGAAACGACCTCTGTCATTTTTCAAGAAAATCTCAGCAAACATGTTGCACTTTTGAGGCACACATAATGATAATTTTTAAATTATGCATTTGCAATCCTAGAGAATGAGAATGAAATGTATTTCATATTTCTAATTTGATATCGTATCACAAAAGGGCAATTGTCTTAAGGAGATAGATTGTCACTAAAATGATTCTCAGAATACTGATTTTTTTTAAAATGTTAAGGTTATTTTATACGAGATAAGTGAATGTATCAGAATACCGCCCCATTACTTTCAGATGCCATTTCTACTTGAGTATAGCTGTTCTCATTCCACGAGTTCATAAATTCTAATTTGCTGATGTATTCTTTTGCAAGTGTGTCTGTGTGTGTGTGTGTATGTAGGAGAGTGCTAGTATTGGCCAGATTTTTAGTGCAATAATGGAAAGGAACATCCATCATTTTTGTTATTTTTTTTTTTTATCGAAAATATTATCTGGTGAGACAAGATGACTTGATGGTACCGGTAGTGTGTAATGTCTGCAATAGACGGGCATATGACAAAGTTCCATATTTATGTACATGTAGTTCCATCTCAATTCATGTAACTTATATTTATTCAACATGTTGATGTTCCAAAAAAGAAAAAACCTGTGATCATAATTGAAGGTAATGGCTAGCTGTGGCATTTAGTGTATGTGTGTGTGTGAGAGAGAGAGAGGCAATAGAGGCATAGAAGCAATGTATAATAAAAAGTCCATGCTCAGTTCTTTGCCTACAATGTAACTTTGTTGTACTTATAATATTATTATACATTTATTTATTTTTGTATCATTCTTTATGCTGCATGAATTCGTACAAAGTAGACTGGTTGACATTTCTTAGAAATCTGTTTTTATTACAATAGTATTGATGCAATCATAGTTTATGAACTTGCAAATATTATGATCAAATATATACAAATCATATATTCACTTTATTTACTTCAGTGAGGAAATAAAACATAACATGTAATATATACTGCTACTGGATACTAACTTTGTGATATGTAGAGTGAATTCTAATGAAAGATATCTGACATGACATCGGGCTACAAATAATACATCATCACTCTCCTGACAAAGGAGACAATGGGGAATATGGTTGCTTAAAGAGAAGGTCGAGTTCTGGGGAGAGGCGAACAATAATTTGTGAGCGTCATCATTGTTATTATGCAAGTGTTCCCTGAAAAGCATGACTCTTCAAATGCCTTCATATTCTAAAATGACAACAGCTTTAAAATGAGGCCAGATTTTTATGCCACGTGTTTGTGTTACCAACATACATCTTCTGTGTGTAGTCCTTGTTACTTAAGACTGGGCCAATTTTCTTATCATTTTGATGACTTCAGAACTGTGCAGTACACACCAATACTTACCGGTACATGTATATGCTACATGATCAACCTTTTCTGATCAATTCCACACCGTTCCTTTCACAATGCAATCGCATGACCAGAACACAACCTTATCTTTAAAGATAAAGGTGAGTTCTGTTCATTCGATGTGATTGCCTTGTGAACGAAACAGTCTGGAAGCAATGGGAAATAGTTGATTGTGTAGCACATAAGAATTGGTGTATATTTTGAGGTTTTGGGACCATCAAAATGATAAGAAATTGACTCAGTCTTTTACATGCACTGGAAACAGAAAAGTGTATATATGGGACAACAGAACATGTGGCATGAACGTTTCAGCTATTTATTGTCATTAAAGTGACTCACTAACATTGTTGAAGGTTGGTGAAAAAACTGCGCAATTGAAATGTTACTTATTATATTCCTTCTACTACTAACCCTCTGACATGGAAAAATTCTCAAAACACAAAGATATTTATGGTTTTCTTTGAAGGCATTTGAGGGACATATTTTTCCTACAATATTCTTCCATACACAACAAGAAAGAAAGAGCTCACAATTAATTCTTACATCTATCCCAGCACTCGACCTACTCTTACATTTTTTCAGTTTGCTCGATCCTGATTTTGACAGTTTGTCATTCTAATAAAACACTGTATAAAAAGTAGTCAAATGGTGAGTGTGTTTCCCACACCATAGTTACAACAGACTATTCTGTATACATTCATATAAAAGCAGTAGGCATAAATGAACCTTCTATCTTTCTTACACTGATTATTCTGTTTATCCAAAGCAACACTCCAATCATTTATTTATAGCTTTATCATTACATAAAGTAGATCTCTACATTTGACATTATGTTTCATTATCTTAGGACAAAGATACAAATTAATACTTTAATTTTCCTATTGGGCCCTTTTGCATCGGAAGGTGTGTTTATTTAACTTAAACAAATAATGAAATTTCGTTTTCAACCAATTAGGATCACTTATTTGATACTTGCATTCCATTTTTGAAGTTGTCTTTAAATATAACTATATGCATGAGAGCCCAGATCAAGTAAAATATGTCAATTTTATCAATCTTAAAACTTAATAAGAGATTACTTTCATTTGAACAAGTAATTCAGTTTTTCTTACACTTTCTTTCCAAAAGAAGTATGTAATAATAACTTAATACTTTTCATTCTGGTTCTACACATTTTACCCAACAAGAATCCTCACAGCAAGAACGTACATGTCAGCATCGGCAACAAAAGAGAATGAAAGAACATATTCCAGGTGCAGAAAACATTAATAGTGAACACAAACAAAAGTACAACAAAGTATTTCAAGTAGCGAATTCATAATAAGAATATTTAAAACCATTCACCCTATACGCTTTACCATTATAAAGTACTATCCTATAGACAAAAATATCAAAGTATACATGTTTTGCACCATAAATAATTTAAAACAAATTTACTCAAACCGTTTTAATGCACATGATTTTCTACTCTAAAAAAAAGCATTTTGCATTATTCTTTATATTCATACTATCTGTGTGAATGCAATTGTGAATTATTTTTGCACCATAATTTTGTTCTTGTATCATGCAAAATATCAATCAATATTGATATATATATATATAGCAAGTCCAATTTTAATAGGATCTCACAAGAACATTTTTTTTGTAATGTATACAGACCTAAGTTTCTCTTTTGCAATAAATGATGCTTTTAAAAAAATATTGAGGGGAAAGGAAAACTAAGCAATAGAAAAGAGCAATCTCCATTTTCAAGTTTGATTTTTAATTTACAGCAGGGCCAAGTAGGTATAAAAGTACATGATTTGAATTTACCTTCAAGTGATATCAAAAGTTACGACTTTCAAGAGGAATTTTCACAGGTTATATCCTGTATTAAATAACAATGAAATAACCATAAAAATAGCAGTACCTGAAAATTCTGATTCATTTATAAAGTCATCTTTCAAATCTCTCTCATATAAATTGTTCTGTATAATCAACTCTGTGGTAAGGCAATTCGTGAGTTTTAACTAATTCATTAAAGATTTACGACAAGCTACCGGTACTTATTATCTACATAATTGTACATGTATACGCCTCTTGCGTGAAAGACAGATGGCGATAGAAAATCTATCACATTGACATTACAATAAGCAATAGTAAAGCGCAGTAACATGGTCACCTATTTCACGTACTAGCACTAGCTAAACTTTAGCGGGCACCTTTGCAAAACCTGTGGTGTATCTTTCCTGCATCTTTTTAACAAAGGGCTGCATCTGACCAACAAAAGAATCTTCTGTTGTCCTTTGTAAAAGCAGAAACTCAATGTGCAAGCTGCTTCAGATTTACCATTTTGGAAGTTCTTCCCACGGTTACTGCTGTCATTAATGATTTGCAAAAGCTGGCTAAGTGTTTGGGTTTTTGCAGTGTCTAGGATCTACATAATACCTAGGGTAGAAATAAAACTTAGGGTGCATGCCTGCCTGCCATGACTAGCACAATCGTGATGTGTGAATGACGATTTTTGATGGGCCTCCTACCATCCTTGTCAGAAAGACACACCACAGATTTGCTCAGATGCCTCCTTGAGCCATCTTGTTTCCAAAAGTTAATGCATTGACTTGATAAATACATGATACATGTATTTCTAAAGATACAAACATGAAGATATTAAGTCCCTAACATGAAAACAAATATTTCAACATTTCATTGCACTACTACAATCAACTCTAAGCCATCATTTCTTCAAATATACTTTAAATTGTAAAAATCCCCCTGCTGAAGCCTAAACAATTTCCATTTTGAAAATTATATTGCCTTAAATTCCTATGACAGTACCTTTAATAATCAGCTGAAGAAAATCAAGTCAGAGATAACTTGAGATTAAACAAAATCAAAGTGCGTGCCACATTAAAAAAATGCAATAGCCTTCAAATATGTCACTAGCTTAGTAGCTTGTAATATTGGCATTGAAATGAAGCAAGTCTAGTCTAATTGATAGCAAGATAAGATAGATATATTCCTACTATTTTGTATGCCAATCGTTAGTATGAGTGGGTTATATCCCATCATACCATCTATACATGCTATGGCTAAAGCAAAATGAAAAACAGGAGAAAATCAAGCCTACTACAAAAACGGACACTACAATCTATTTTCCACACCACCATCACCCATAAGATTAAGAATATGAACCCAAAATTTAAAGAGAAGAAAGGTATACTTCAGCCACTAATTAAATTAAAGTGAAGCTATAAGACATGATAGTCCTGCATAGAACAGTTACCGGTATATCATCCTTGTGGTGGTTTTTATCGAAATATAAAATATCATTAATTTATCATGCGTTTTTACGTTTATTAATCATACAAAAGGTCCAATTTCTACAAAAAAGTTTTCAAAATCTTATTGGCACATTATTTGTTATCAAATAATGCACAAATTATACTGCATGATTCTCTATATATATATATAAATTTTATATTTCATCACAAATTTCCCTAGATATTTCTTTCCCAACAACCTCTATGGGTGGACTTTGCATGATGACATGGTTGAGCTAATGCTCTCACAGCAACATAAACCATTTCACTGACACATCAATCACTCTCAATGCATAGACGCAATGTGGGGGATTATACAGATATCAAATGGTAGGGTGTGCAATATTTAAAAAAAAAATGACTGACAAAGGGTCATATTTTCCCAAAGGGTTGTATTTTCACCAAGTGGCATATCACTGAGGGAAAAGACATGTATGATCACGAGGGAAAATATAACTCCTCTGCGGTCCAAACATCCTACCAGTCAATATCTGGTATTGTGGAAAGCCCTAAAACATCTTTATCACCACTGTAAGTCGAGCTTGTCATGTACTCACACATATGATCAGGATTTGATGAAGTGCATAAAGCATAATCAATCTCAACTAGAAGGATGTGCATAACTTTGCATTAAAAAAAAAATACAAATGCATTGTTTCAAAGCCTACTTACAGTTATGGTAGCAAAATGAAAAATTGGCATTCAATGTAGTCTCACGTTGCTCTCCTCATATCAAAAGATACATATGCGAGATGCTTTGATATATCATCCATAATTTGGGTGAATTTTGGTGTAAATATCAGCAAGGAATGTAGATGATCATGGCTATAGACTACCCTATGCTAGGACCCTTCTAACCCGATGGTTCCACCACGATCTCGCTGCTTCATTTAGAGATTACGTGTGTCGCATCCAGACAACCCATCGTAGGTGTTACATGTGAATAGTATACGTCTAATGGGAGTGTTTGTCAAAGACTAAGATCGAGTTTAAGTTGGACTTAACTATGGCAGGCTGTTCATGCCATTGTTTCTCTCACCATTTACTAGCATTGGTCTCTCAAGGGACATACAATTCATGTTAACAAATCTACAGAATTACAATTTTTGATAGTTCATATTATATAAAAAATATTATATAAAGTTCATGATTGAGAGAGCAATGGAGAGAGCAACCAGTGACATGATTGACCTGCCATAATTAAGTCCAACTTAAAGTCGATCTTAGTCTTTGTGAAGCACTCTCATTTTCCCTCTCATTCTATATTCACAGCTGGAATGTCACTTCCTTTTCGAGCGTCTAAACCCCTAGGTTTTACCCAGTGACCCTTTTGGATATCTATTAAAAAAAAAATTGTGACCTTTAAAAAAAAGTAACATCTAGAATAATATAAGTTTCTTATCACTGTGAAGATATATAACTTGATATAATGCATCTCATGTCAATAAAATCAAGGAAATTTACATCTCAAAAACAACAATTTTGGGGCTGCCATCACAGGGCCGACCTAGGTAAGTTTCATGGTGGTCAGCCATTTAATTATCCATTACATTCACAGGCACTTTAATTGTTCTAAGAGTGTTTATGACGCTTCATTACTGGGTATTGTCAGATATATTCTACAAAGAATTTAAGATTTGCTGGGCTAGGCTAGGCTGCATTGGCCTAGCCGATGGCATTGGGTCTTTCCATTCATTCACAATCGGACCCTGAGAGAAGCGATGACTGCGATGTCATCAGAGACTATACATGGTACATGTAGGTGAGTTCCTTGCCTGCATTGTGGTTGGGCGTATAGAAAGGGTTGAGCCAACTTAAAGACATCTTGCTGCCACAGACCATCCGGAAGGCGAGGCAACGGGTCTTCTTCTGCCACGTGGCCTTCTGCTGCTTCAGCTGCTCGATACCCTGGATAGGAGGAGGTCAAAGGTCAAAGCAGACAGAAACTTAGAAATTAATAATGAAATGATTTGAAATAGTTTTGTTTATTAAAAAAAGATTAACAAAGGAATATCGAAACATTGGATAATGATGTACATTCACCAAATCAGGGCCCCAGCTTATAAAAATTTACGATTCAATCGCAAGTCCTCCAATCAATCGCAAGTTTGCAGTGTCCTATCTCTTATGTACATAGTTGTGATCGATATCAATTGCAAATAAGTTGCGATTTAATATCAACTCTTTATAAGACGGGTCCATGTCTGTTAAACCTAGAAAAAGATCTTTTGCAAAACTGAATAAGGAGTCACAAGTAAGTGCAGAATGAAAATCTATATTTTTTTTCATATACTTCCACAAAAATTTGACATGTTGATATTATAAAACAGAGACTTTAGAGGATAACCTAGAATAATACCCAAAGCTTCTGTCATCGCTGCATTTCTGTTCTTCAAGAGTCCATAAACATATCATTCTTGAAACAGAGTTCACTCTTCTTTTTTTTTTTGGGGGGGGGGGGGGGAGGGGGGGGGGGGTGAGGGGGAGGAGTGGCAATTATTATTCCATCCACTCAATCAGTCAATAATTGTCCTATCTCAGGATTCCCTCCACTTAGGCTACCCCTATGGAGGCTATAAGAAGTCTGAGTATAATATTACTATCATTTCATAAATATACAACGGCAGCATGAAATAAGAATGAATTGCCCTGATTTAAGCGCCGAGAGATATATCAATTACACGATGGGCTCCCTAGCCAGAGGATGATGCCCAGAATATGAGACCTTCTGAGCCCCTAATACTTCCCAATCCACAAACCAATATTCAAAGTCATTTGTTTATTCAACTGGAAATCCATCCCATCGCACGCTCTCTTGCTTCTCTTCCAATATCTCCCCCCCCCCTCTCTCCCCCCCCCCTCTCTCTCTCTCTCTCTCTCTCTCTCTCTCTCTCTCTCTCTCTCTCTCTCTCTCTCTCTCTCTCTCTCTCATGCGCATTTGCTGATCGAAGAGCACAAATACATATGGTCAGCGCTCTCTACTCTATGTGTGAATCAAAGGGTCCAAAGACATTCATGATGCCTTAATGTATTTTACACACACACACATTTTTTTTTTTTAATAAAAAAAAAACCGATATTAGTGTGGATTACTGTTCAAAATGTCTTCTTTACTCAAGGCATACACACATAGAACCTGAATACAGGATTTGTATTGTTAATACTTTTAATACTAATTTCATTTCATGAATAATAGTGGATAGCTGACAATCACCGTTTGAAACTGATTATGTTCCAAATTATTGCTCGATATGTGTTTTGCAGAGTTTTGCAGTGTAAACACACCAATTACAAGGGGTGCAAGGGCTTGTCAAATCTACAGACAGTCTGGAGCCCTGCTTTGGGGGTGATGTCTCAGGACAATTCAAAGACCTACTAGAAAAAAACTGACTATCACTTTATCTTTTGCTGTCTAAAACGTGACATTCTAAAAAGAAGTGCAGAAGACTAGAAGCCGAGTCAAGGGCCACTCCCTAGAGATGGCAGGCTCATGTTACGCACATCTATGTAAATGAATGCTCATGAGATTCAAATTGTATGAAGAGTGATATAAGAGTAGGAGAATGGGAGAGACAGACAGAGAAAGAGAGAGAGAGAGAGAGAGAGAGAGAGAGGGGAAGTAAGTACCGTAAAAAAGATAGAAAGTGAGATGGACAAAATAAATGACACGGGACGCCCACACAAAATAACACAAGACAGAAAAGTAGTCGGAATATATAAGATAGATGAATAAATCATAAGCTATTGAAAAAATAAGAAAAGGATTAAAGAAGTTGACAGGGTATCTGAAAGAATAGTGAGAATACAGTGAACTTCAAATACTTTGTAAGATAGAAACAGTAAGACCGTAAAAGAGTAGAAAAGGGAGAGAAATACAAAAGAGGGTAACGACTAATGTCGTACAAGATGTTAGGAGACTAGATAAATACAAAATCAAAGAGAAGAAAAGCTCTTGATATACTGTATACATATAAAGTCAGTATGGCACAAAAGAGAGAGAGAGAGAAGAGATAAAGGAATAACAAGGAAAATTCATGATGAGAGGGGAAGAAAAAGATAGTTGCAATAGAAATGCAACAACCTGCAATATCGTTGGCCTTTATTAATGGCTCACATGACCTCCTCATCGAGGCGGAATTTCGCAAATAAGGATTTTCCTTCTGATTGAGAGATTTAGGGTAATCAATTGAAGTGGAGCCTGCAATAGGTTTGATCATAGGGAATGATAGCACTCATTTACATTCCTTGAGTGGTCATTGGGAGTCATCTGCAAGACGATGAGAAGTAATCAATTTAGGTGCCAGGAAACTGGTTAGCAACTATGTTATTTGTTCAAAGAATCCCAAACTGACTTTATTTTTTCAGGAATTTTCAGAACCTCTTGTTGTCTGAAAACCCATCTGATGATGACTTCCAGTGTGATCTTTCATGAATAGCACATCAAGCAATGTATTCTAAGTAATACATTTAGATTGTAACTCACTCCTCCTTCACTATAACAATACAAAGTCCGACAGTCTGGTGTACCAGATCTACACTCTCCCCCCCCCCCTCCCTCTCCTTCTCCCGCCCCCTCCCTCCCTCCCCCTCTCTCTTCCCCTCTCTCTTCCCTCTCTCTCTCCCCTCTCTATCTCTCCCCCTCTCTCTCTCCCTCCCTCCCCCTCTGTAATGTTCAAGAAGCAACAGCCTTCAAGAACATGTCATCTCCAAAACAAAGTTGGCTACAGAAGCTATACCCGGTCTGGCGACTATGTGATATGGCTTATGCAAGACTGAGGGATTCTCTTGAATTTCTACATGTTTTCTAAATCCTCTGTAACTTGATGGCCTGTCATAGAAACATGAATGTGCATGAGCAATTGGGTCATGAAAGAAGAGAAGGTATGAATGAACCACTGAAAGATAAAGTAGAGGTAATGTTACCCGGCATGACTAGCTGTAAGCTTCCATTAAAATCGAAGGGCATTCATCTCACCCTAAAGGCTCGTTCAGACATGACGCAGCAAAACCGCTGCTGGGTTTTTATCAAAGTGTAAAACACTTCATATTTCTGTATCTTATAACTCAGAGCTCAGTGAATGCGTGCAAGTCCTTTGCTGCGCGCAGTTGCCATTCATCATATATATTTTTGTTTAATTAGGTTGCATTTTTGCAGCCATATCTGAACAAGCCTTTTTGACGGTTCTGTGAGGTATGATGTCTTGTCATACACACACAACATGTAGACACCAGCATACTCCTAAAAATCTGATTGAATTAGCTAGTAATATTTAAAGCTTATAAAATACAAGATATTTCATTATTTGAAGCGCGCTATATAGCCTATGCCAGGTATCCTCTTTTGAAATTAATATATATATATAAAACCTAGCGGGTGTTCACAAAGATCCCAAGTCCAACTTAACTCTTAGTTGGACTTAAAAATTATGGAGAGCCATTTGAAGCCTTGAAATTAAATATTTTCAAAAGCAAAAATTCAGGTATATTAGACTTTTCTTAAATTCCACGACAAGAACATGAAATCCCCTTGATAATAGAAAATATGAATCACATTTTATGCTTTTTGAAATAACTTTTACAAAATATTTTCAAAGACGCTAACGGCTTTTCATAATTGTTAAGTCCAACTTAGAGATAAGTTAAACTTAGGATCTTTCTGAAACACCCCCCTAGATGAAGATGGAATGGTTACTTACTGTTTCGTCAGTACAGATAGCATGGACCTGGGTGCCGAACATGATAGCCGTGAAGAGAACAAAGAGCATGGATTCTACAGTCAGGGCCAACATAAAGATCACGGTGGCTGGTGGCGAGAAAAAGCTGCATTCACCTGAGAATAAGAGACATAGAAAGATGAGAGAGATTACAAAATAGTATTAAAGATAGAGTTGAGTTCTGGTCATGCAATTTCATTATGAAAGATTTTGTCTGAAAGCAATTGAAAGTGGATGAACATGTAGTATTAAAGGCCCACTGTCCTACTTGTAGCTACTTGCTCCCTCAATATAGAGAACTTCCCCAATTGGTGCCTGTTGGTCCCCCATGATCTGTTAGTTGAGAGCTGAGTTAATGAGATAGCCACCTGTCAGTGACCTCGCTGTGTGGTCTAATCCCTTCTGGCCCAGTAGTGTTGACGGTCTTTAAGAATTGATGTATACCCCAACATTATTTTTTAATAATAAAAATGAACATGAAGTGACTTAATTTTGCTGCACTGCACATAGATAAAGGTATATGGGACTTCAATCAAATATAACAAGAAAGTTTGATCCAAACTATTCAGCTTTTTCTTGTCACATATGAATATGAGGGCATTTAAAGAGCAGACCTTTGTAGGGGACATTCCTACAACGGTACTCTTCAAAACTGACATTCAAGGAATGAAAAAGCTTACACACTATTTGCCATCTTTACCATCTTTACCAGAGCTCTCAACCTTCTCTTTAATTCATTGGAGACGGAACCTCATAATATTTGGGTTCAAACCAACTGGATAATGCATTGAAAGGGAAGGTGAAGGAAGAGACTTTAACTGATGATTATAATTAGGTTTCTGATATTTCAAGTATCAGAAGGACCTTTAGAATTAGGGGAATAGGTTGGTGATGATACAATCATCATAAGACAGATAAATGCCCCTGTCTTGTAAAGAATGTGGCAACTATTTCCAGACCACTTCTTACTATTAAATACAGAGAGAGAGAGAGAGCAAGAGAGAGGGATAAAAAGAGAGGGATAGAAGAGAGGGATAGAAAGAGAGGGGTAGAAGAAGATGGGAAGAGGGAGAGAGATGGATAGATAGATAGAGATAGAGAGAGAGAGAGAGAGAGAGAGAGAGAGCGCAAGAGAGTGAGAGAAGGAGAAACAGAAAGGGAGAGATGAGGGGGGGGGGGGAGTTATAATATAAATTACTTCCTCTCCATTCCTCTACATCTAAATCACAATTTTTCTATTTAATCTTCCATTATTATTATGTATCATCCCAAAACAGAATACTGAAATACACCTTTATATCTTTAACCAGGGCAAGCTTAGCCTTTAAACAAGGCCACTTGTCTGATAGACGCCGAGTGACTAAAACGAGACTAATCGCGAAAACGAGAGAGCGAGAAGCCCTTCCAAGTAGCCTTTATCAATCAGGTTTGGATTTCTTATGTTAACCATTGTTTCCGATTGGAAATTGCTTCAGAAAATGGAGCGTCCAACCAGCGAACGTATCCCCGCACGACGTCAGCATATAGTATCCATCACACACACAGACACACACACACACACACACACACACACACTCACTAAGTAAACTCTACGTAGTACGAACATGGACCTACTATGAACTATTACGTACGTGCTAAGACCACTGACCTCTACATGGAACGAATCACGAACGAAGCCAACTGGGAGATCGCCGTTATGATTGGTCAATAAATCCAAAGTAGGCATATTGGCATGCTAATATGTATCTATGAATAATTCATGCAGAGCAGTGAAACCTACTTTCCAAAAGGCCTCGTGACATTCGTCACTCGGTCGCGCGTTCACTCCGGGTATCTAGACTCATCTCAGCCGCTTAGCCAGAGTCACGAGGCCTTGTCAAAAGGCTAGGGCAAGCTGTGCTTGTTTCATGAAATTTGATCCTTTGTATTTAAACTGCAGTCCTACAAAACACAATTCAAAGCCAAACAGATCACATTTCTTGTTTCCAATCATTGTAAAAGAGGAAATCACAAAAACATCCCATGTAAATGTACTATGAGGAAGAAGCCCTACTGATCTATCTTCTTACCAGACTATCACCACCAAGGCAGGGTGGGATACCACTTGGCGGTCCCTCTCCAAACAAAATTCATACTTGAGCATCGCCTCGACAAACACAGCCCACTATTCAATGACACTTTGGCTTAAGTGCCTCTTCTTCTCTCACTCCACCATGCTCTCACTCTCCCTCTCCCCCTCCTCCGGGCACTGTTCTCTTTACTGCTCTCTCAGCCTTCTTGTTATTCTCTCGTAGTTGGATCTCCATCTCAATCTTCCCCCACCCTCATTTCCCGCACAAAATGCTGGCAGGAGTTTCATAGAACTTTGCAGTGTAAATGCCCGCTCTTGAAACATCTGTGAATGATTCTATTTTTTGCGTCCCATGACTCTCCTTGCTTCTGAGCGATCACATCGTGCAGAGCAGCGACAAGTCGTGCATGTGTTCTACTCAAGGCCCGGTCACACAGAGGGGACGCATAGGGGACCCACGGCCAGCGCATTGGAAATTTGCACCTTTGGCCATTGCATTGTCGTTCGCTACGTGTGCGTCATCATTCGTTACTCGTTCGTCGAGCACGCTGGACCAACGCTGGACCAACGCTATGCATTCGTCGTCATTCCCTGTGTGCGTCGGGATTTTTTGAGCATGCTCAAAAGTGTGCGCGGAGCTCAACGCATGAATGTACACGCCAAAAGGACGCCAGACATGCGCGGAGCGCGCTAGACCAACGCCAGACATACGTGGAGCACACGCACTGTATACGCACAGCGCGCTATGCATTCGGTGTCAGCTCGCTAGCTTCTCCCAAATCCTGACAAAAGTCGGGCTCACGACTATTTCTGATTTTCAATGCGCTGGCCGTGCGTGCCCTATGTGTCCCATCTGTGTGACCGGGCCTTCAACAACAAAATCAGAATGAGTAAACACCAACGTTGTTTTTAGTGCGTTTTTCCATTAGTGTAAATGGTTGTACATAAAAATTCAATGATTTCCAAAATGGTGTTTGGGCTGTGTAAATAGGCCTAGCCTCTCTAAATTTCCCTTTTCCGAGATCCTGTCTTCTTTAACGTCCTCATCCTTGCTCTTTCATTCTTTACATTCCTTTTTCTCCCTTAATCTTATTACTTTTTTCTTTTCTCTCTTCTCTCAATTTCTCTTACCGGTAAATGAATGTGATTTCTTATTCGCTTTTCTTCTCTGACTGTTCTCTTTCTCTCTCTCTCTCTCTCTCCCTCTCTCTACCTCTATTCCAATTTCTGTGAAATCTCTAATTCTCTGAACCTCTTTTCTTTGTAATGTTTCCATGCATTTTTCTTCTCTTTCTCCCAGCCTATAGATCTTCCATTAAAAATTCACTTTCAATGAGGCCAATGGCACCATTTCACAGATACTGGACCTTTCATACTGATGCAGCCTAACTCCATAATCCTTTACACCATTAAGCTTGTCAGTGGATTCATGACTTCTTTTGAGAAACAACATTTGATAGCTACACTGTATCTCTTAAATCAGCAAAATACATCATGTCATGTTCTGATCGTATACTGCCTTTCCATACTTCAGTATCATACACATAATTAACAAGTGGAGGGGAAAAACGATGATGAGCCAGGACTTTATTCTATAGCAGCATCTGTAATCTCCCTCAGCAAGCATCCATTCCCCTCCCTTCTTAATGAGCATTTTGTGTAAATGCATCTTCGACTGCATCGGGATGAAAATCATAAAATGTGCAAGGGCTTGGTAGAATGGAGGGAGAGATGGTAAAGGAGGGTTTGTTCATTTCTTCTCACATACTACCTTCTAACCAGACATATTAAGCCTTACATGTAAATTGTCTTTTTGGAGCCGAGCCAAAAGGGTGTTAACTTATTTACTTTAACACAGAGTTAACTCCCATCTGGTTCATGCACAGAGGATCTATAGACGGAATGGGAATGTCATATGTATCTTCCGCAACATTTTATTACCCGGAAGCACCCATTAGAGCATCTTGACAAGTCACTCGTTTCATATCACACACTAAATGTAGACTGATGACATACTTTGATTAGATGTATCTCAGATAAGCTTAGGAATGTGCCATTTCATGTTTAATACTATGCACTTGGCATATGCTGACCTGCATATTTCTCATTGTTGGATGCAAAGCTTTTAAACTTAAGGAAGCATTATTATTTTTCTTTTAAATTGAGTGCTTAGAGTAGGTTAAGGTGAGATTCAAATCACTATGAACATCTCGGACAATGAAAGCGGACAAAATATACAGTTCCTCAGGTAGACAAAGGAACATCCCTTCACTGCTATTATGTAAAAATGTGTAGAACAGGTGAATATGCAGTGACACCTGTTCTACACATGTTTACATAATAGCAGTGAAGGGATGTTCCTTTGTCTACCTGAGGAACTGTATATTTTGTCCGCTTTCATTGTCCGTCATGTTCATAGTGAATGCAAACCTTACAAAAACCTACATCCTTGAAACGAGTCTTCGATCTTCGGATGCAGCATGCACTAATCGCCTCAGCAAATTTTTTTTCTTTCCTAACGAGTGGTTGCATGGGTAGATCATCCACTGCACATACAGCAGAGGGGAGCGTTTCACAAAACTTGTCATCAGTGACAAATGACAATTTGTGTTATAAGCTACTGAAATCCTTGCTTCTGATTGGTTATCAGCAGATTTGTCACTGATTTTTGTTATTTGTCATTGAAAAAAGGCTTTGTGAAACGGGCCCCAGATCACAGTGTGAGGATTGCAAGGTGAGGAAATACTTCCCTTTTCCCATCACACACATAGCTACATCAGTTACATAGCTAAGGACCAGCACTTTCTATACCTTGACCAGAGGCACTTCGGTGATCACCCCTTGCTGATTGATGAACCGAAACAATCTCAAAAAGAATATAAAGGCTGACCCCACATTGGCTCCAGGAGTTATTTCATCAAACACATATTGGTAGGTAAGAGTCGCAATTTAGATTAGATTTAAGGTTGGGGTTATAGGTATAGTGCAGAGTCCACGGTTGAAGTTATAAATTATGTTAGTGTAGAGAATTAACTGTGGAGTAAT